GCAATTTTCTCAATTTGATTGTGTTAGAGATCTCGAATTTTTAGGCCCAAAAAAAAATGGTCCAAAATGGTCACTCCGCTCATCAATTCTGGGTCATCTTTTTTGTCAGTGTGCCACAGGTGTGCCGATTGTGCCGGTCATAGAGCAAGCTGCGATTGTTTGTAAAATACCCATCCCGGCAACCCGGTATTTCTGACATCTTGAATGTTTTGTTTGAAATCGCAGGGATAAATCGGATTGAGGATGACGCGGGAAGTGGCGGGTGTGCGAAATTTTGGTGTGTTGTGTTCTTAGGATAATAAAAGTTCTGTGTTTTAGGGTTTTATAATGCCCTCAAAGGCAGCCCAGACAACCAGAAGTCGTATAACAATGTACAGAAAGTATCGTAAATATCTACAGTTTAAGTCAACATCGCATATAAGTATGACATACATCGCATTATGTTTCAGTTAAATCGTAAAGAATGCAAATTTCCGACTTAAATACGACGAATCTTTTTTTCATCGTACTGTTTCACAAATTAAATCGGATTACATCGTAAGGTTTTTCAAATTGAATTTGTTATTACAGATTGAATCGTATATAATGTCAAATCAACTCGTTTAAAAAGAAATTTAAATTTGCACGTATATGGCCTCCACTTTGTATATCACAGAAACAACTTTGAATATACGTACATTCTGGTTGTCTGGGAGAACAGAAACCTAGCCTTTCGTGATGTGAAAAGCAACGGTATATTAGCGGCCGGAAAGAGTTGGAACCGGTGGGGAACATGGTTCAAGATCGACTATAGAGGATGATGAATAGACTTCTGTAGTTTGTTTGGTGTGAGTTGCAGCATTATTTGAATTAAGGGTATTAACGAGGTCTGATTAACTGCCTCTGTCTCTTGAGCCCACTCTAGAACCATTTCGTATTTAGATCTATATTTTAACTGCTGGTCTGAGTTCCTCTGGTATATTCAATTAGAGGATGTTACAGTTGTCTAGCAGTGCTCCCATTTTATTTAAAATGATCCAATGCCTACGAAATTGTGCCGAAGATGTGCCGACGAATGTGCCCAAGCTGTGCCGAATCTAATTTCGGCACAATGTGCTGAGTGACTTACCCCTTTGTCCAAAACTCCAAAATGCATCCCTAAATCCGTAATTTTTAACGATCAAGATTTTTAGACCTAGACGCATTCAAATTTTATTTTATGTCCGTGATCTTTCCATCTGGGATAATTTTCTTCGTTGCACAGTAATAAGAGGTTTTTTAAAACTGCGATCTAGAAAAGTTGTCTATGTCCCACAGTTATTTGTTTGTTTCCTTGTGTTACAGAAGATTATCTTCTTGGAAGGAATGGAGACGACCAGTGCGTTATAGCGGCTACAAATAGGAGAACGATTTTTTTTAATTAAAATACTAATCGCTTATCGCATCGCTTCATCAATATCCTAGATATTTAAAATTGACTGTCTTAATAAAATTGTCAAAATTTGTCTAAATCTTTGAATTTGAACATTTTTCTCCGTGCCTCAATTTTGCGATCTAATCATCAATGTGTGCTTTCGATGCTTATATCAACTTAGTAAATAGCAGTGATGGAAAAGTTCGCAAAAAATCACTATGACTCTGAACTTTTCGCTTGGTGAACTCGTGAAATATCGCGAACTTTTCCAACACTGGTAAATAGTTTGTTTAAAAAAATGCTTATTCAATTCATATTTATTTTTTGAGGATAGTGGGATCCATAAACCGTTTGTTTTATTTTTTAGAAACATGAAAAATGCGGGTTTGTGAGCTTATAAAATTTCTCGAAGTGGCAATCGAAATCAATGAAATATTGAAACCATATCTTTCTGACCAATAAATGTCACCATTGGTCACTTTTTTATTGTTTAAAAGTCACTATTTGGTCACTATTTTCGTTATTTTAGTCACTAAAGTCACTACTATTAAATCACATACTCACTACCAGCCCTGCTTCATAGAACCATTGTTTGCCGTTCCAACGTCGTGTTCTATCACCATCTCTTCAACAAACTTCTGGCTAGGTTGTACCATGTGGCACGTCATTCCCGAGTCAATATACCACGTCTAGCTCTTGCTTGACATCACCCATGTGCGATGTGGTGGAAGAATCTGCGTTCGGAGCTAACAGAAGTTGAATCAATGCCAATCTATTGTGATATTCGGTCGGCAATTAGCATCGCGAACACTGGTTCGTATAATCCAAGAACGAAGCATATTAGTATTCGCTATCATTTAGTACACGAAGCATTAGAGCAGCAAACAGTGAAGCTCGAATACATCTCGACAGCAAACCAACCTCCGAATGGATTCACGAAACCAATCACCCTTAAGAAGCAAGCTAAGTTAAGCCAATTCTTAGACATCGCGGATTAGAGAGGAGTGAAAACCAAGCAATCCGCGATTTTGTTACGTTAGCAAGTATTTAGAAGATAAACGCTGTTCCTTCAAACCTGAAGCATCGTTTTTCCTTTTAACAACAAGATATTTGTATCAATACCTTCGAATATTGTCAATATTTTCACGTCAATGTTTAAATGAATGCACCCACCACACGAACATAAATATTGCTCCTGCAAACAATGCATCCGATCGTCGATCCGGCGCAACTGGTAGCTCGCACACGCCCACCAACACCACCACAGGTAGAGGAAAATTTCCCTATCTGATGGTAGTGCTAGTATGCGTGGGCGAGCCACCAGCCACGCCAAATCGACGATCAAACGCACCGCCCCCAAAAGCCGACACGTCCCTCTGAAAAAGTTATCGAGATTTCTACTAATTAATGAATTATTGACAATTACCTCTCATGATCCTTGGCTCCACTATGATTTTAACTTACCACTTTTTGATTATTTATCAAATACCTCTCCAAGTATATAACGCCCCGATGCCTTGTTGGTTTCTGTTCTCATTTGGATTGGTCCTGAATTTGTTTGATATCCTCAATTGAGTTTTTAAATTTCTTTGAATTCCAGCTTGTACGTGTCTCACGTCATATGATTCGCCATTCATAAAGATAATGCGTTAAAAGGGAGCAAATCATACATAAAGGTAGATTAGTATTAGTTGTACTTGATCCAAACAATAGAAAGAAGCATAGATAAGTTAAGAGTTAGTTTTGATCCGTATTCAGCCCTGCCGGCCCCTTCAACACTATTTGCAGAAATTGTGATTAGATTATGCGACACTGCTACTACTACTAAGTTAGATGCATGACTTGTCAATTTTCGCTAGAGAAGAATACTCCCCCTTATTCTGCGAGTCACGTGACTCTCTGTCACCGGTGAGGTGACTATTGTCACCTCGTGTGAGGTGACTCTCCATGTAAATCAAATGGAGAGTCACCTCACACGAGGTGACTATTGTCACCTCACCGGTGAGAGAGAGTCACGTGACTCGCAGAATAGGGGGGACTGTTTTCTAACGCAACGCAATGTATCAATGAAGGTGTCTTTCAATAAATCACTCAATCAATTTGATTATTGAAAATTTGCTCAAAAGGGTTTAGTTGACACATCATACCTTACCGAAAACTAAAGCACAACACCTAATTCTTATTTCAAACCTACCAACATATTTAACACACCTTTCCTAAAACTTCACTTATTCGTAAGCGCCTGATTGAAGATATGACTGCTATTGACATTCCCCCTTATTCTGCGAGTCACGTGACTCTCTCTCACCGGTGAGGTGACAATAGTCACCTCGTGTGAGGTGACAATAGTCACCTCGTGTGAGGTGACTCTCCATTTGATTTACATGGAGAGTCACCTCACACGAGGTGACAATTGTCACCTCACCGGTGAGAGAGAGTCACGTGACTCGCAGAATAAGGGGGATTGCCTGTAATTAACAAATATACTAAATAGAAAGATTTATTATACAACTCTAAAAGCTAGTTGCCTCCCTAAGCAGACCCCCCGCGTCCTATCTCTTATGTTAATTAACTTTCTGAATTCTCTAATTGAAGTTCATTTGATGATTATTTAGTTAATAACTGAAATCTCTAATCTACCTACACAATCATAACCCATACTTTTAAACTAAAATTTAACGTGTTTCAAGTACTTCTGGCTCTGACATTATATCTTTCTTCGTCCCAGGTGACACCTTCAAGTGACTAAAATGCTTCACTTTGGAGTTAGTTTCCAAGCTAATTTTAAATTGTATATTGTATAGGGTAAATGTTCCAATTACGCTCTCACGTTTCCACTATGTCGCACCACAAAAATATATATGGGTATGTCACAATAGAAGCACACCACAGTGGAAATCCCGAGTCATAGTTCAAACACTTATCCCAAATCAAAATGAAGCACATATAAGATTAGTTACAATACCATGTATGGTGTTTAACATTGCTTCCTGAGTAATACTTCAATGAAAACAACAATGAAAGCTTGTCTTGCAAATAGGAGGAGCACCGTTGGGTACTTTCTGAAATATTTCAATAGTATAATTCCCTTGCAAACCCAAATAAATCTATCTGCGTAAAAATAAATAAAATAAGAGTGATTTGCGGCAAAACCCGCCAGTATCACACCCAACGTCAGTGCCTATACGTAAGCGTACTACGATGCGGCTCTCAATTAAAGGAGTAACAAGTGTGATACTATCACTCCTAGACTAGATCTTTGGTTCTCTCATGCAGTGGTTTATCAGAGAGGGGAAGCTTAGTAATCCCCATTGCCTGCCCATGGCGCCATTCTATCGCGACATGAGTAAGCAACGCCGACCATAAACCTACCGTCTCCAACACTCCACTAAAAAGCATGAAATTAAGCCCGCCAACCAACAGCAAGGTGCAAAAACTAGCAAAGGGGAGGGGATGACGGAAATATTGATGCACACAATGAAACAAAATCAAAAAAGTTTGATTGGGGAGGGGGACGCTTAACCCCTCCCTCCACCCTTCGCTGCACCAGTGATCAGATTAATGGATTATTTTGGAGCATCTGTCATCGTAACAAAAGAACAATCCATTGTTGGAGCAACTCTATCAAATTTATTCTGCAACTCGTTCCATTACCATCTAAAACTTACTCAAAATAAGAAGAAACAACTTTGTCCTTCCGTTACAGATACAACGAAGCAGCAAACACAATGTCCCTCTTGAGCACCCGTATCGCTTCGGAGAACTTGTTTTCCAAATCGGTATTGCCGATCGTCTTAGAGGCCTGCACCATTTGACGCAGTAATTCCTCCAACCGTCTCATACAACGGATAATCGAGCCTTCGAAAATGTCGGTCATCTTACACAGTTGCAAAAACGAGGATCCTTTGCACCAAGCCAGCACGACATCCATCAGGAATGGCTTAAAGGATTCCACGTACCGTTCTTCGTCCAGCTCGACCTTGCACTCGTTCGAGACCTTGGCGATTCGCCGTGCAAGATCCTGCATCTGACGCAGCGGCCCGGACAGTTCCTCGGTTGCAACCGGAACTTCTGCGCTCTTTTCGTCGCACACAAAGCACGACAGTAGAGCACAAGCCTGGGAGGTCGTCAAGTTCGTGAAGGTCCCGTTGAAGATCATCTCCGTCAGTAAAAGTTCATCGGCGCAGCTCAATTCGCAAGCTACACGTCCCTTAAACTCGATGACATCAGCAACCGTGCAGTATCCCAGTCGACGGAGCACCCGCTTACGATGCTTCAACTCGTCCATGTGGAGCAAACTTTTCGCTTCTCGGAAAGCGTTTTTCTCCAGCTTGAGTTGACGTTCTAGTTCCAGTTTCTCCATGTACTTTGTGTAGAGTTTGTCCAGTTCCGGCGAATCGTGCAACGGATGGGAGAAAAGTCGCTTTTCAAACTTGTCGATCATATCTACGATGATTTGGAAGTCCTTCTCCTTGATGTGCATGTCGTTGATGGGGTTCAGCAGTGGAGGTCCTTCCGGGAATCGCTTCTTTACTTCGTTGATGGTTTTGAGAACCGAACGACGATTATCCGCCGGTCGGAGGTCATTCGGATAGTACACCCGAAGCGAGCTAACCCGATGTACGAGGGTATGCAAAACCGGTACGACCTCAACCGAGCCACGTTTGTTCGGTGGACAAGGTTTAGGGACACCTTCCTTCTCGAAGCCGTCGTCGACATGCAGAAGCACGTCGATGATGACTTTCGTTTCCGCTTTCAGGGGATTGGTTTTAGCGTCAACAGTTTCTTTTTTAAAGTTTACTATGATACCCCACTCGAACTCTCCGGCATCTGATTGAATTTTGATCATCCTTCCTGGTTGTAGGAACGGAACCAGATAGGTGGGTCTCGTGATATATTCCCGGAATTGTTTTCCCAATGTGTCCAATTGATCTCTGATGTGGTGATAGGACGCAATCGATTGTTCATCTTTTATGTAGACACCTTCCAGCTCTTTCTGCTTCTGCTGTACTTTTTTGTAAATATCCGGAATGGACGACTGGTTTTGAAACTGGAAGAACGATCTCTCCAGCATGTACTCCGGATTGATTTCCTCCACTCTCAGCAAATTCAACACCATATTGTACGTCAAATGGAATGCCGAATTCATTGGATCCGGCTTTCCCTGAACTATCTCCTTTCCTACCGCCGGCGAAACCGCTTCGTCAATCATCAGAATAACGATACCTTTGTCATCCAAGCCACGACGGCCGGCACGTCCCGACATCTGAATATACTCACCCGATGTAACCCACCGGAAATCCTTACCGTCGAACTTACGAGGACCTGTGAACAGAACCGTACGGGCAGGCATGTTCAAACCCATGGCAAAGGTCTCCGTGGCAAACAGAGCTTTGATCAAACCTTCCCCGAATAGGATTTCGATGGTTTCCTTCAGGATTGGCAGCAACCCACCGTGATGGATACCGATTCCTCGACGCAACAGAGGCAGGACATTTTCCACCTGAAAATTTGAATGCAAATCGTAATTTGAACAGTTAAATCACGACCACGCAATCACCCACCTGAGGCAATTGTCGATCCTCCTCGCTCAGCACGTCCATTGCATTGTTGAAAACCTCGTCCACCAACTTCTTCTCCGTAGTCGAATTAAAATCCAGCTTCGACATCTGCATCGCATAAATCTCGCAATCCTTCTTACTGAAGGAGAAAATAATGACCGGAGCAAAATTTCTCTCCATAATCATTTTCACTATTTTGAAAATGTTCGTCTCGCCCGAATTGGTTGCTTTCAGACCACCTTTCTTGCCTTTCTGGTCCCCTTTGGCGGCATCTCCGGCATTTTGCAGGACCGCCATTGCAGTGTTGAAATTGTCCTCCTTGAACTGACCCTTCTCATCAACAACCAAGTGGATTCCGTCACCTCCGACTGGAAACAGATAATGCTGCAACGGTGTCGGACGGTAATCTGTGTACACTACATGGCACGGTTGTTTATGAATATGGCAAACCCATTCGGCAAACTGTCGAGCATTCGGAATGGTAGCGGAAAGGAACACGTAGTGAACATTATCCGGTAAAAGGATAAGCGTTTCCTCCCACACCACTCCACGCTCTTTATCTCTCATGTAGTGGATTTCGTCGAAGACGACCCAACCTACTTCACGCATAATTTCCGAACCCCGGTACAGCATGTTCCTCAAAATCTCCGTTGTCATAATCAAACAGGAAGCAGACGGATTGATCGTCACATCCCCGGTAACAAGTCCAACGTCTTTGAACTCTTCATGAAACTCTCGATACTTCTGATTGGACAGGGCTTTGATCGGAGTAGTATAAATGACCCGCTGTTTTGCGGCCAAAGATATTGCGATTGCATACTCCGCTACCACGGTTTTACCGGCAGAAGTGTGAGCCGACACCAGAACCGATTGCTGATTCTCTATGCACAGGATTGCCTCCTTCTGAAACGGATCCAGCACGAAAGGGTACTCCTTCACTGGCTTTCCGGTACGAGGAACCAGTGGCATGTACTTGTGATCGGGATATACGGCTACCTCATGGGTACAAGCCTCCGGCGATTGGATTGTGTGGACCTTGATGCGGGACTCGATGTTATCCAAACTAGAATGAAACACACTTCGATGAGACACTCTTCGGCCAACAACAACAAATCCAACCGAACTTACTTGATATCATCCAGAAGCGATTCAACTTTAGCTCGTTTAGTGGACTCCTCTTCTTCGGCGTCGTCGTCATTGTCTTCATCCAGCTCGCGCTTGGGTCCACCCGTTTCGCTGTAGGAAAGAAAAACCCTTAGTTAACCAATATGATTGGATAGAATTATACGTACTCCTTAATCTGTTCAGGGCGTCCTTCCTGACGCTTGCCGGATCTATCCGTTTCCTCTACCACGATCGGCACATTGCCTGCGTCCTCGTTGTCGTTCTCGGCTTCGAACAAATTGAAAAGATCATCGACATCCGCCATCGTTCGAAGGATTTCAAACGATCACCACAATACAAGAGTTTTGCAAGAATTTTACACAAATCGATGCTAGTTTAAACAAATTTTCCACGTAAATGCAGCTAAAAACGAACTATTTCAATAGGAAAAAAAAATGTGGAACGGCGTGCGTGTTGTGTTGTGTTTATACGGAATAAAGTGACGTTTCGAATATCGACAGGTTTCGGAACAAAAGCACGGTTGTCAGTGTTGCCAGGAAACAGGAATTCAGACATAAAAAAAAAAGTCAGGGACGTACGAAGGTGGCAGAACGTATAGCGCCTGCACGGTGTTTCGTGAAAACCCATTTATGGGTAAAAAAAATACCCATTTTCAAACCATGTATGCATCAGCTGTCAAAAAATGGGGGAATTTTAAAATCATAAAATGGGTGAAAATACCCATTTAAAGAATCAGTTCACGATTGCATAATGGGTATATTTTTTACCCACTAATGGGTGAAAAAACACTTGGAAATTTTATCGTCTCATTCCGTCACCGACCATTGGGAATCCCGAAAAAAAAATTACAGTGAAATTTTCAGTGGAAACAATGCTCTAACATTAATATTTATTGTCGACAATAAAAATGATTGTTATAATGTTGTACTCTTCCGAAAACGGCAAAACTGCTACCTAGCTGTACAATGAATGTACATAATAAAATGTTGTTACAATGATTTTTATCGTATTTTTCATTTATTTTATTGTTAACATGATTCGATCATGAACAATAATTAACAACTCTATTACAATAAAAATTGTTGTTACATTAAATATTGGTGTATTTTCATTGTGGGTTACTTCACGAACAATAAAAATAAATCTGATTGAAGCATGCAGACTATGAGAGGGTCAGCAACACTGCCAATGTAATTAAGATAGGCGCTGCTCGTATGGCTCTGGCTTTGACAGTTCGTTTGGCTCAAAATCAGGCAGTCCGCGTCCGCTCACATCTTATCCTAGACCCTCTCTAAAGCTTAATGGAGACCTTTTCCGTGCAGTCAATAATTATACAATAATAATAAAAAATTCCACCACTTGAAGATGTCAAGAAGTAACTCTCAGGTGGAACCATATTTCATGGGCGATTCTCTCCAGTCGAATGCATTAACTTATCAACGACGCTCAACCACCAAGGAGACGTGACCTAGGGATATTGAGCGCAGGGGAGTTGGCCTGCATTTCTCACAAGTTCCGGATCGAATCTCGATCCATAACCAGTAAAAAAAAGGACCACCCGTAACAGACATATACCACCCCTTCCCTTCCCGGGGCAATGTTTTATTTTTTCGATTTATTTTTAAAGTCGATAAAGTAGATCTGTCAAGCCAACACATACACTCTAAAGTACACTGCTATTTTTTTTAATCAATAAATTCGCCAACCAACAGTAAAATAACAATAATATATAATGTTATTGAAAAAAAAATATATGCGAAAATCACGAAAATTTCATTGTTAAGATACTTAACAACCCCCCTTTTTTATTGTAAATTTTCCATTTACCATGAAATTTATTGTTTTGTACAACATAAATCAAGGTAAATTTATTGTAGACGTAACAATATAAATCATTGTTAAGACAAAAATTTTCGTCTTATTGTTACATTGTTTTTTAATGTATTTTTGTTGTTATTTTTTTTCGGGATGCAAACAGTTTCTGTCCGCTTTTCTTTTAGCAAAAATGGATCTCCGGAAAAGATTACACTCAAAAATATTACAAAACGAATATAGATTAAATTTTATGCATTTTATGGTTTTTCAAAATTTATACATTGGTTCGATTCAAATTTTCGTCAAAATTATACTAAGGCTGTGGTCCATTTGGTGAATTTTCACTTAAATTTGACACATTCGAAACTAAATTATAATGTTCGAAAATCCCTCTGTTGTTGATCGGCCAATTTTCGAGAAGGTGTGTGTCAAAATTGATTCCTTGTCTGTCAGATATAAGTCTGCTGGAATAGCAGGTTAATTTGGAAATTTTCCATCTGTCAAGTTTAAGTGAAAATTCGCCAAATGGAACACAGCCTAAGTCCGAATAACGGAGTGGAATTCGATCAGTGTTTACTAAAATGACAGGAAAAAGAACATCTGGATTCCCTTTGGAGCTTCGTGCTGGTGAAGAGCTTCGTCCCGGCGGATTTCTACTGCGCCTGTGATCTGCTGGGTAGCATCGAAATTGTAAGTATTTTTTTAAATAATATTCATAAAAAAATAAACTAATTAAAAGCGTCCTGAGACAATTTCAATTTTAATTTGAAAACAATCATATTCACCATACATAAAATAAAGAACCGAAAAATACATTCTCTCGAATAAACCGTATCTAAGCATTGTAAGTGTATTTCGATTTTATACTATGGGACGCTCGATGGCACGCATAAACTATTTTTATACTAATAGTACGTTCAGACTACAGAGTTATAACATGTTATAACGGTTGTCAAAAAATTGCAACACAGAAACCACCATCAAGATAGCGCTATAATATGTTATAACTCTGTAGTCTGAACGTACTATTACGGATAAGTCTATACAATCCATTAGTAGTGTTGCCATGTGGTACAATCCAGTAGTAGTGGTGTTGCCATGAGGTACACTGAAAAATTGCAATATCAGGTGCGTCACCAAAGTTTTCGAGCCGCTCCGTCTGTCACTTCGTTTGTAACATGTTATAGCGCTATCTTGATGGTGGTTTCTGTGTTGCAATTATTTGACAACCGTTATAACATGTTATAACTCTCCAGTATGGCCAGCGTTTAAGCTCGTGTTCGCGAGGGTTGGAACTGGTTTCAACCTGGATAATAAACAAATTCGCTATATGAGAAAGCAACAAAGAAAATCGCTTGGCAACAGAACCTCTTAAGCGTAAAAAAGTCAAGTATTATCGAGAGTATTATAGTACATACAAGACACTGAAGAAGTCTGCACATTTACTTACTTACTTAAGTGTCCTGAGCGCCATCCCTGGCGCAAAGGGCCAACGTGAAAGATCTCCATCCTGGGCGATTGTTTGCTTTCGCCTTGACCTGGGCCCAGGTCAAATTCCGGTCGACTTGCTTAATCTCCTTGTTTAGGCTTCGCCGCCATGAGCCCCTGGGTCTGCCTCTGCTGCGATGTCCGGCTGGATTCCAATCCAGCGCTTGTTTGCAGATTTCATTTCCGCTCTTCCGTAGAGTGTGGCCAACCCACCTCCACTTACGTTCCCGAATTTCTGTCGATATCGGCTTCTGGTGACACCGTCGATGGAGCTCGGCATTCGAAATCCAGTTGTGAGGCCACCAAGCACGAATTATATACCGCAGGCATCGGTTGATGAACACCTGCAGCTTCTGTGTGATCTCCGCTGATACGCACCATGTTTCGCTAGCGTACAGCAGTACAGATTTCACGTTAGAGTTGAAAATTCGGATCTTCGTGCGGAGACTAATCTGATTTGACTTCCAGATGTTTCGTAAACTCGCAAAAGCAGCCCTTGCCTTCTTGATCCGTGCACCTATGTCACTCTTGGTTCCGCCGTCCGACGCTATCTGGCTGCCAAGATATTGGAAACTTTCAACCTTCTCCACTTCCTGACCAGCTACCGTAAAATTGGATGGATTTCCCGTGTTGATATCCAACGATTTAGTCTTGCTGACGTTGATGTTGAGACCTGCCGCTGAGGAGCGTTCGGCGAGATCGTCGAGCTTACTCTGCATGTCAGAACGCCGTTGTGATACTAAAGCAACGTCATCCGCCAAATCTAGGTCGTTTAGATGCTCCATTGTAATAGGCTGCCAGAGCAACCCACGGTTCGGCACACGGTCGATCGCACCAACCATTATCTCGTCGATTACGATGAGGAACAGTAGCGGTGATAGAATACATCCTTGCCTCACTCCAGCGACTACCCGAATAGGGTCAGATAGGGCTCCGTTGTGCAGCACCCTGCACGTGAAAGCCTCATACTGAGCTTCGATGAGGTTGACGATTTTATCCGGAACTCCCTTGCGCCTTAGGGCGCCCCACAGGTTTTCGTGGTTGAGTCGGTCGAAAGCTTTTTCGTAGTCAATGAAAACCAAGTAAAGGGACTCTTGGAATTCGTTGACCTGCTCCAAGATTATGCGGAGCGAGACAATATGGTCCACACAGGATCTTCCAGCACGGAATCCCGCCTGCTGCCGTCGGAGAGTCGCGTCGATCTTCTCCTGTATCCGGTTGAGGATAACTTTGCATAGAACTTTGAGAACACAACACAGTAAGTCTGCACATTGTAGACGAAATACGCATATTTGCCAAGGATAAGCAAATACCTAAGGTAGAGGAATTAAATGGAAATTAGTAATCCTTCTCTCTCTCTCTTTATACAAGTATTCCACTAAGACGCCCACATTCATCAGGACTCTTAAGCGTGTTTGCCTAGTCTGCCAGAAATCGGATAAGGAAGGCTTCATAAGGCTGCAAAGACTGGACCCACAAGACTTGCGGAGGAATATTAAAGCGTCCCTTGGCCTTTTTGTGCCAATGCACAGTGGTCCAGAATACAGATTAAAACTTTAGACTAAAAGTCTCTTCTACAAAGTTGTTCCTTATAGTTACGCCCTCATTTTTATGACAATGAATTCTAGGGTGGTTCCTATTATGGTTAAAATCAAAAATCTAACTTTTTTGAAGTAATGAAATTGGGTTGTTAGCGGAATGCTTAAATAAAACAACAAAAAAGGTTATCTTCCATTTAATTCCACTTAATTAATTATACATGACAGATACGTATTTCGACTACAATGTGCAGTCTTCATCAGTGTCATTCCCACTAAAGAACTTATCAAAATCTAACCCCCTTAAGTACTCATCTCCTAGGTAAAAAAAAGTCAAGATCACAGGTATACAATGTGTTGAATTATGAATTGATGTTAAAAAAGCGGAGCTCTAGGAACAGGATCGTGGATTTACCACTTTTACGGATGTTCCGGATCTTCCGCTGCACAGTCCGAAGGCCATCTGGGTCTATGACCCAAATTCATTTTTATATCACAGATCCTAGTGTTAAAAAAACGCGTAGCTCTAGGATCAGTTTCATGGATTGATTATTTTTACGGATGTTCCAGATCTTCCGGAGAACGGTCCTATGGACATCCAGGTTCATGTTTATGTCACAACCCCAAATTCTTTCTATCATCACAGTTCCTAATATTTATAAAAAAAAACGCGGAGCTCTAACATCAGGATCGTGGATTTACCACTTTTACAGATGTTCCGGATCTTCCACTGGACGGTCCGATGGCCATCAAATACATTCTTATATCACAGATCCTAATGTTAAAAAAACGCGGAGCTCTAGGATCAGTTTCATGGATTGTCCACTTTTCGGATGTTCTATAGGATCAGTTTCATTGATTGTCCACTTTTACGGATGTTCTGGATCTTTTGGAGGACGGTTCCATGGCCATCCAGGTACATGTTTATGTCACGACCCCAAATATTTTTTTTATATATCACAGTTCCTAATGTTAAAAAAAAAACCGCAGAGCTCTAGGATCAGGTTCATGAATTGACCACTTTTACGGATGTTCCGGATTTTTCGAGCACCGTTCCGTTGTCTCCAGGATCCATATATAGGAACCATGACTGTATTCTGGCTAATTGTGAACATTTGTGCCCATTAATCTAAATTACAGATCGTGCGCCACTTGCAAAACCCTACAAACACACCTTTCAAAAAAACGTGTAACAACTCTTTTGTGTGCTTTGTTTTTTTTTTAAAGTAGACTACTCTATTTTCAATCTTTTTACAATCAAAATCATCTACAAACCCTAGAAATTCTAAAGGTACCACAATTTTTGAAATTCATTCAGAAATGGCTAAGTTATGCCATTGCAAACATGCCGTTACACGTTTTCGGAGGCTTCGTAGTCGGCGTAAAGTTGTTTACCCACCGTATTCGGAGTGTTAATCACCCATATTCTTGTTTCGTTCGAGCCATACCATATGGGTGAATACATTCTTTTCTTAAGAATTTGAATGGCAGGGAATAAAATTTGAAAATTCCTTGAATTCCAGGCAAGATAAAATGCCTTAAGGGTTCCAGGTTTTTGCCAAGTAGTACACAGTCTGAACCCACGACTATCTTCGTGAAATGCTCGCATAAGGTGATTCCTTGTAGAGTCCTTTTTCTTATCACACTTCGTAATTCCGAAAGTACAAACACCCCTATTCTGTATTTCGTTTCGAACGAAATTCTCATACAAAAAAATATTTTTTTGTATGAGAATTTCGTTCGAAACGAAATACAGAATAGGGGTGAAAATCTCAAGATTTACGGGGTTTATAGAAGAAGGTAGCAGTTTCAGCTAGGACGTGCACTCACAAATGCTTAAATATTTTGATTTGCGGAATTGCGAAGAGTAATCCGAAAAAGGGGCTACAAGGAATCACCAGAAGAAAATGTGATAAGGGAAGAAATCATGTTACGGAAAGGGAGACTTTCGTTCCTCATATAACAACCCATCTATAGATCAAGGTGGACCACACATCAACAATCACTCACACGTGGGCGGAAAGGTAATAAAAACACAAGCTTTTATGTTTATAGCTATCTTGGACTCTGTGTACGAGTTTTCGCAATGTTTCATCTTTTGAAATCAACTTTATTTTTTTCATTATCACTCGTAAACCTTCTTGTTAATGTGCCGACCGTGCAAGTTTTACTCTGTTTTACCATCGTTTTTTTTTTGAGTAATTTGTTTTTTGCTTTCTTTTTTTTGCATTCTTTTTTCGGCATAGTATTTTTTTTTTTGTTCAGAGTTCGTTAATTCTTTTTTATGGTCTCTGTCCGAGCCAAGTGTCCTATCTCTTACATTTCTACATCATTGATAACAGCTTTTTATGTTCTTATCAACTACGACAGTTTTAGGTACTGATGAGCTTGCAGCAGCTACTATCTGCAGCCACGTCGCCGAGTCGAACCACACAAGGTGCGTGCTGTGTGCTGCAGTTATCTCGTCTGTAAGAAATACAAGAAACAGAAGAACACAGAAGAAAACAAAATTCGATGGTCCAGAGTCAAGGGTTGCCAGCACGCTCGCAAGAAGATTTACAGCCAGCTCGAACAGGTCGGCCCTCTCTGTGTGATGACATCCGGATGGGGACGATGGCGCTCAATCCTTCCACGTTGGTTAAGGTTTAAATAATTTCTTCAAGGTCCTAATCGCTTGTTTCTTTGTGTTTTGAATATATTAAATTAATTTTCCCTTCCTTCGTTAGGTTGTTCTAGGATTACAAATCACTGTATGTACACCTTATGTTTATTATTTGTTTCTTGTATTATCTTATAGCTTTTTCATCTATAGGTGTGTGTATAGATTTTATTTTTTTATTTTGATAATTAATTAATAGTTAATTACTAGACTTTTCTCGATAAAACTATCATCGTTTTGTTTGTAGTTTGAAAGCCGCTAGAATCCGCGCGGTTCGAAGCGTGCCCATTATCGAAATAAAACTTTCATAGTTAATAATTTTGGTTCTGTTCGAACAGTCACATGACTTAATAAGTTATCTGCTTAAAAATGGGTTTCAATTAACGGACTTTGAACAATACAATCTAACCTAATGTTTGTAGTTCAATGTGGGTTGGGAAACATTCCTGATCGAATAATGATCTCAGCTCTGAGAATCGAAATTCCGTTCGACAGATCTAACAATTCCAAACGTCACAAAACATTCGACTACAAAGGTAAATAACAAAAAAAAAAAAACACTTTTCTTAGTGGAGAATTCTTACTTGCTACATTCGAAGAGAACAAAATCCACTTAAACGGTAATGACAAAAGTGAAATAAAAGTTAATATTTCAATTCAGTTAACTGCTTTCTGTCTCTGCTACTGATTCTCCCACAAGTGATGGCCACGGTAGCGATTATCAACGGCGCCAGGAACGGTCCTCCGATTCCATGTCCTCTTCCTCTTCCTCCTCTTCGACCAACTGTACTTCGGAAGTTTCTTCCATAGAGGCCGTTTCGTTCAGCGTGTCCATCGATGCAGCTGAGGAGGTGGTTTCCGCCCCAACAACAGTGCCAGCATTTTCACCAACTGCCTCATCCATCTTTTCAGCGGTATCTGCTGCGACCTTACTCAATCCGTCCGCTTCGGAAGCATTCTCAACCGGGGAAGCTTTTTCCTTGCTTTCTGTTGTAACAACTTGAGCTCCCACTGGGGTTGCGTTGTTTTTGATGTTAGTGTTGTTGATCACAGCCCACCCAATCTGCAGGGTTATGTCCCGGAACATCTTTCCGCGAACAAGCGCCTTCTCCGCATTCTGGCGAATCGAGTAAGTGATCGACAGCGATGGCACCGTTTCTTCCAGCTGATGCTTGGTAATCTCTCCGAAATGCTTGAAATGTCCAAGCAGGGCATCGGCATCTTCCAGGGAAAATCCAGTTATGGCGATCGTAGTTGGACGTCGGTCAACGCTGGTCGAACCAAGTGGAGCAACTCGATTGGTAGCTCGAACCGCGCGAACACCTTGCGGACCATACAACTGAGGTTTGCTGACAGGGGCTGCACCACTGACCACTACCGGGGTAGGAGCATTTCCTGATCCCGGAACTCGATGAGTACGTTGTTCTTGGGCAATCAGCTCCAACTCCGCATCCAGGATCTCTTTCTCGTGTTGTTCCTTAGTCTTGCGTTTGGGAGCTACTTGAGCCACGATTTGAGACTGATCACTGGCAATTTCCGCCTTCAGTTTGTCGATCTTACCTTCCAGTTCTTTGATCGAGGAGAGCAGCTTGGCACGGCTTGGATCATGCGCTTCGAACTTTTCGACCATCATCACCAACGTTCGCAGTTCCTTCAGGTAGCCCTGCAAAAGGTCGTACTTTCGCTTGCGTAGTCCTTGAGTAATTTCCTGAGTCTTCCTCATAAGATCGGACTTGGCGTGATTGATCTTAGCAGCATGCTTCATACGGAGTTGATTAGCCGTAACGATCGGGGTGGTAGTCGTGTTGATCAGTTTTGTAGCGGTGGTTAAATGAGTGGCTACTACCGTGTTAGTAGGGGCTACATTCTCGCCACCACTTGCCATGGAAGTTGCTGCAGAAGTGATAGCGGCAGCAATTGGTGTTCCATCCTTGGAAACAGTTGGGGCTGCGGATGTAGGTGTTGTTGCAGCCGATGAGATGTTCAAGTTGTTATTGATGCTGTACTGATTCGGGTATGATCTACGCAGTGAATGCTCTGTCTTTGCGCCTGGTGTAATTGCAGGCTGATCTCCACCGACCGGCGACGAATGCCAGAATACTTTAATGAAACGATTGTTCAGCACTGCTTCGGTGCTTCGGTAAGCCACGTTTGCTTCGGCGTGCGTTGAGAATGTCACTATGGCCGCTTCTGGATCTCCGTCATAGCTAATTTGAATGTTGACAATCTTTCCAAACTTGGAGAAGTGGTTATTCAGATGAGCAATTGCATTCAAACCACGCGGAATTTTCCTCAACTCTAAAGAACAGTTATGCTGTGGGTTGACAATGCCTCCATTGCCAGCCGGGTGACCAGTCACTCGTGGACCTAATCGGTTATTCATTGGGATCTTTCGCTTCATATGGGCATCAGCGACCGCAACGGCATCCTCTGGTTCGAACCTGCGCTTGGGTTGTTGAGCCGAAACGTCTCCACCTTTATTCGCATCAACAACAGGAACAGAAATTAGCTCTCTTTGCAACGGAGTGGCTCCGATGGGATTACCTGGAAAACCGGTGGGGAAACCAGGTGCCACACCTCGAAAAGACCCACTCAACGCACCTCGCGGTCCAAACCCGGGAACTCCGGCAATGTTTCCCAGCCTCTGTGCAATCGAAGGACGTCCAGGAGGGAAATTCGGTGGTCTGTTCCACAGTTCCGGTGCGTCCGGACTGTACTCTGGATGGATCGGTCCCGTTCGCATCTGGGCTGCTGATTGGATCGTAATCAGTGCAGGATTGTTGATATCTTCCAAAACCACCGGATCTACGCCGTGATCCCATGGACACGTTTCACCTCGCATACAGTAGCCCTTCTCGTCGAAATCCCTGCAGCGCTGCCTTTTCGCATTCAAAGGCCCTGGTTCAGCACTGGGTGTGTGATCCATCACAGGAGCAGGCACGGCAGCCGATGCCGCCGCCGCCGCAGCCGCCGTAACCGGCGATTCGGATCTTGCCATTTTTCTACGATCAACCACCGGCGAAGGTGATCGACTTCCGGACTGACTTCTGTTTACCGTGCGGCTAGCACCGCCCCCACTTGCTCCCGAACTACCACCGCCGGAGTTACCACCGCCGCCACCACCGCCGCTTCCTCCTCCACGTCGGTTTTCATAGCCATGGTTCTTACGGTCGTACCGATTACGGAACGATTCACCACCACGGCCAAGCGGCGATTTGTTACTACGGTACTGACGGTTCGCCTTGTCCCGGTTGGATTCACCTCGGAGGGGTCCACGATCACGTGAGCGGGATCGACGAGATTCGCGCGATCGTTCGAAGGAACGTGAACGGGACCGGGACCGGGAACGGTTCGATATCCGGCGGCCACGGTTGCGACTTTCTTTGCTCTGGAAAAGAGATAGAATGGAAACAAGGTGCGGTTAATATTGTTGCTTAGTGTTAGAATAATTCCATGATAGTTTCGAGAGAATGCAAGGAACTGAAGAACATTTCAAGTGGATTTTCATGAGATATCTATGGACTATTCTGAGGTCTTCATAACTATGTCAGGGTTCCCAAAATTTTCCTGAAGTTAATGAAACTGCCTTGAAGTTCTTTTGAAGTATGAGAAACTAGCCTGATGCTCACAATACTTCTAATCAAAATTTTAAACTTCCTTAAGTTTCCTTAAATTTTCTAACGACCATTGATCTTCTCTAAATCTTTAACAATTCGCTGAAGTTCTCGTAACTTTTTTTTTTAATTTATGTAATTTCTCTAATGTTAATGTTCTCCGAGGGGGGCGACACATCTAAATCTCAAATCTAAATGCTCAAAAAATCTCACACTAGCGAATGAATCTTCGAAAAATCTTCTATCATTTTTCACATCTACTTGCATCGCGTATCATCTTTTTGCAGGAAATCTTCAGAATCGTCATCAATTTTCTTTCTATCTACTCGGCGTGCACGCAGCTAACCACAGTAAAACAAAATATTACCTACATCGCAGATAGAGTCGCCCTCTTCGGGTTTTTTTTCTGAAGTTCATGGAAATGCCCTTAAATTATCGACACTAATTCATAATCTTCTTCAATAGTCGAGACTTTCCTGATGTTATTAAAACTGCCAGATTTTTGAATTTCCTTAAAGTTGACTGCTCTGCATTTCTGTATATTATTATAAGAACCCACAATTTTACTGAAATAAATTTTATTAATTAATAAATTTTCCAGAGGCGTCGCGTGCCTCATTTGTTTACCTGTGCACCAAACTTTGTTCGTCATAGTTTTCCACTACATATTAGTTTTTGTTTTTTTGTTTTTTCAATGCTCCATGAATAGCGTCGTGAATATGCAATTGTTTCATTTGTAAATGATATCGTTTCGCAGCGAATTGACTCAACAGAACTTTTATCAAAATTAAATTTCCATGCACCCACTCGGCAACTCCGAAATCGAAATTTATTTGCCATAAAACATCATCGCACAAATTATGCAAAATATGGGCCATTAAACCGCATGATGGCCTCTTACAATAAACACTGCGAAACCATTGACTTTACAATGTCTCGGCATAAACTAAAGCAATATTTTTATTCCATAAGAAATAACAACTCATAAAAGAAAAGACAAGAAAGCTGACACTACTTTTTTTTATATAAATATATATTTAAGAAAACAAAACTGTATTAGTTGTACTAGTCTACGTTGGTTGACGAAATAAATAAATAAACAATTCGAAGGACATATTCTCTATTACTATATTAATCACTACCTAACGTAACATTTGAAGGGCCTATCATCTTGTGTAAACAAAACTTGTATGGCCCTTTTTGCGTTAACCGAAGTAGGAGGAATTGCAAAACTTAACTAATTCTCGTTTTTATCACAAGGAAGTCGAAGAGTTTTCTTTCGACTGAAGCGTAATGAAGAATATCCGTCAAACACTTCCGAAAACATTTTTGATACAAATCAGAGTCAAAATCAAGAGAAAATTCATGAAGTCCCCTGGGTAGCAAACTTGAATTAATCAACTCTTTATTCATCAGAACAACACTATCAGAATGGACCATGGACGCTCATAAGTGTGGACAGGCGCACCGGCGCAACCATCAGAGAGATTTGATTGAGTGATTTACAACTCGACAGTGCTTTTCATCGATTTTCTCTTTGCATTGCTACAGCTAAGCGAAACAATTTTCTAGAATTTGTTCAATGCAGAGTAGTAACAGGTTGTATTGGCTATCAAAAGCAACAGCAAACGCACCGAGAAACGTTAAATCTAACGAGTTATTAACAAAAGAGAAAATCGACGAAGAGAATCGATCATCGCGTATAGGCCCTTATGCATGTTCACTGTCGAACTGACAAGAGGGTGAGAGCGAGCTTTTGCGCTCTCTTTCTCCATTACTCTCTTTGCCTGCAATCAGATATCCAAGTGCACAGCAAGAAATGCACACTTTAGGTAGAGTCGGTGTATAATGAGTCACGCCAAGAGAAAAACAGTTTAACTCGCATCACGGTTTTCGAAAGATTCTCTTTCCTTTCACTTGGCAACAGAGGACTTCTACATCAACTTCAAATGACTTCTAGCCATAAATAAAAATAGCGGCTGTAGTAAATCATTATATCAGTGATTTTGTCAAATTATCTTAACAAAAAATAGTAGAAATTCTCATTACTGGTCATTACTAAACGTATCCCATGACAAGCTAATGCTCACTGCGTATTTATGATAATTTCTTCGATTATATTTTATATTTTATTGCAATACCTTTCGTGGACCTTTCATAGCATCGTAATGTTTGTTTACTTTGCTCGATAGGTAGCCGGTTTGACAGTTCAATAGGTAGACTTGGCTTCACTCTTGGCGTGACTCATTATACACCGACTCTAACTTTAGGCACCCATACATCACAAATGTTCTTCTAATTTAAACTCAGACATTCATACCGGTCTGCAAGTATGATACACGTCCAAAGCGTACCAGACTGCTGTTTCCGTGTTGCTCCCGTTTGACGCGTGACTGCTGAAAGTTTCAATTACAACTAGTGGTGCAAACCGCCATGTATTGTGGAAAATTTGTGGTATGTTTCAAGAGGTGATAGAAGGTCTGCCTGGCTTACATCAGGCATTTGACCATTCACAAACTAGCCACCCGCCACCCAAAAAAGCTCGCTTTAGGTACACTATTTAACGAGTTTTGTCATGGTAGTGATATCGACATGCTTAGAAATCAATACATTAGGCATTAGGCAGACCATCCGAACTGAATTTAATTCTTTTTGAAGCAAACCAAGGTCGAAGATTCAATTGAGCCACACTATAAAACAGTTTATTCATGGTGTCTTGTGGTCTGGAGTAAAGAAGTACAGCTATAATGTGGCCATAAAATCTATAAAAATCTAAACGCATTTTTTTTTTAATTATTTACACCTGTGTCGTACACAGGTTGCACATGTGGACGCGACGCCACTGAAATTTTCCTTGAATTTTATAAACTCACGGTACTCTGCCGTAAATCACAAATTTTCCCTGAACTAATCTGGACATCCTTGAAATTGTCTATGCTGAAGTTCTTTTTTTTTTTTTGCAAATTTTCTTATATAGGGGAAATGTAGGTAATGTCGGCCTACATGTCCCTAATTTGGGCCCATCGCTAAAAGTCTGCTATTTATCAATTTTATCTAGATGAACGAGTCATTAGGACGGTACTAATGGATATTTTTGGCCGCTATTGAAAATTTAGTCGATTGCTGAATTTATGTATGGGCCCAAATTAGGGACATGTAGGCCGATATTACCTGCATTTCCCCTATAGTCATAATTCCCTGACACTTCTGAAGTTTTCAGATCAATCATAGAATTCTCGGAATATCCCAAAAGTCAACGGAACTTCTTGAAAGTCGCTGCAAACTTCCCTAAGTTATTAGGCTTATTCAATGCACCACCAATGTAGAGGGCGCCAGTCTCGAGTTCGAGAGGAAACGTCAACCAAACCGATTGTTTACATCAGAAAAAGTATTTTTCATAACGCAAGTTAAAGCATTTTTCATTGAACATCTTGTCAATTTCCATCGGTAATCAACTTGGCTACACTTTCGCAATTTTATGAAGTTCTAGAAATTTCCATAATATAATCACATATAACACCCTTAAAATACTCTCACATTTTCCGGATGTTCTTATAGATTTTATTGCGTTCAAGAAATTCTCTCTGAGTTTTGCTGAAGTTTCCAGAATTTTCCTGATTTTCTCGAAATTTCTTTAAGGGCCTGTTCATAAACTACGTAGACAGTTTTTTTGGGATTCTTGATCCCCCCCTCCCCCTGCGTAGACAATTGTCCATACAAATGTTTTAAATTTGTATGGACCAAGGATAATTGTCAACCCCCCCCCCTCTCTTAACTGTCTACGTAGTTTATGAACAGCCCCTAAGGTTTCTGCAATTTCCTTGATTCTCTAAATCGCTGATCTATCTTGATGTTCTCGGAGATTTCCTGAAGCTCTCAGTTCTATTGAAGATCTCGGTTCTACACTGAAATAAATGGAATTCTCGCAGAACACCTCTCGCAGAACTTCCCTGAAATTCTCTGGTTATATGTGAAGTTCCTGAAAAATTTCTCTAATTTTAATAAATTCTCTGAACAGCTTAAGGGTTCTCGGTGTTTTTTTTTCCAGCACACCATGACGTTCCTGCATGTTTCTAAACTCACGACAATAGGGGGCTTATTACGGATGTCACTTCACGGTGAAAACTTGTCACTTGTCGTCACGGTGAAGTGATTCCTATTTGAATTGCACGGCAATCACGGCTCTTATTCTGAAATTCACTTCCTTATCACCGTGTAGTGACACCCGTAATAAGGCCCATCATGTTCTATATTACGTGATATCCCATACAAACGAACTGTCAATCTATAACATGAATAGTTCTTGATATAGCTCTGTTGTCTACTTGATAAAATCCTGAAAAGCAGTGACTGGCAACCAGGCCACGAAACAGCTGGTCGCTATTTGTTGGCTTAAAATGTCACTTTTCCGTCGAGTCAATAAAAACATTTGGAAAAGACTCTGGATGAACAATAGAAAAGGGTCCATCAGCATTTGTAAACAAACCGTCTAAAGCTCTTTCCTCACAAAACGAAGGCCTCTCACGCAAACCAACACCATCATTGTGTAGAGGAAACTTTTTCCTATTTGATGATGGTATTGGTTTGCGTGGGCGGTCTTCGCTTTTTGAGGAAACTGTTTGTTTACAAATACTGATAGGTCCTTTTCTATTGTTGATCCAGAACTGGCAGTTTCAAGCAACCATTCTAAATCTCCTGACCCACCTACCCGAGACGAAGTTCTTCCGCAATCAATACCATCGGATTGGCTCCATTCAACTGTCGCCAACTAATGGAAGGTTTCACGGTGGTGGTCGCCTTCGGAGTGTGCCCGTCGAACAAAAAAAAATGTAGCAAATCAACGATTTTCTCCGGTACCCAACCAAAACGTCCCGTCACCAAAACGGACGCCGTTTTGTGTCGACTGCCCAGGTACAGTAGGAGGAAATCAAGAAGCTCTACCGATGGGAAGTCATCAACATCAAGGTGAAAGTCAGTGAATAAGAGATTCCTCGCGAGCGTAATCCAACTGCGTGGTGCTGAGCGCTGCGCATATTGTTTCCGCCTCAGACGTTCGATGATACTAAAAAGATCCGCATTTAAAGAATGTCCATGTGGGCTTTCTTTACCTTGCTCTGGCTGTCTGTGTAGCCTGCAAAATCGACGCAACGACGGTTGAAAATGCAGCGTTGAACAGCTTTCCATTTGTATGATATGAAACTGGTCAGGCTGCAGCAAATATTCCGACACTCATTGGTCAAAAGTATACGGATCTCCTCGGTACTGGCTTCGTACGCTCTGAAAGCTTCCACCCGATAACGCCGTCAGGATAGGTTTCCACAGCAAACACAAATCCCTGATGCTGCACATGCAAACAATAACAAAGTTTCTCACTGTCATAAATGATAAACCATATCAAGTCACCGTAATGTGAACACCTCAACTTGATATCGATATCATCTCTTTATATCACGTGATATAGAGCGTAATGAGAACGAGGTATAAAAGTGTCCACAGTTGTCCTCAAGTTCTCTATATTTCTGATTGATTGAGTGATTGATTTATCTTTATTAATGAGGCTTTCAGCCTGAGACTGGTTCGCCTCCAAACATATTTCTGAAGTTCTCTTGACAACGGTGTAGTTCTCCGAAATTCTAGGAACTTCTTAAAAGGTTTCTGCAGTTTTTTCGGAAGTTAGTAGAACCGCTGTGAGGTTCAATTTACTCTGATGCATTTTCGAAAAATTCAAAAGCATTTTTTTTCGATGCATCATTTTAGATTGCAAAACAGCTCGCTTCATTTAGTGTATAATAAAAAAGAGAAGAATGACGCGAGCTTTTTGCAATCTGAAATGATGCGTCGAAAAAAACTGCATTTGAATTTTTCGAAAATGCATTAAATAATCTAGGTCCTATTTAGGATTATCTGCAAAAATGCAAATTTGATCAACGCCCACCTACACTTGTGAGCAGTTGCGAGTCGTTTCATAAAAACAAAAAAACAATAAAACAATCGATGGCAAATAAACTAATTAATTGACTCATTTATTGCGAAGTTTTTCTTCATTTATACTGGAGTGATTTTAATTTCGTCGTTCTCAAATTTCGCTTTCACCAATCCCACCTTGGAACATATTATATGATAACGCTTGGTTTCCATGGCATTTCTTCTGATGTTTACTTTTGACTCCTTTGTTCCAAACCAGCTGGTTAATCCTCTTCCATATGTTTACTTTTTACCCCTTTGTTCTCGAGCTTACACGGAGAAACGAAAGAACTCAAAATTGACATAGAAAGTACTTGAAAATAAGTTTTCCCCTAACACTACTGTTTTGGATACAATTCTATTCTCATTGATAAGCACTTTTAACTTAATCATGAAGTAAAACTAAAACAGTTACTTTTACTTTAATACTCGAAAGTATTAAGTTGATAGGCTTGTTTCAAATGTTACGCGAGTATTATTCATGTGTTCATTTTTAGTAAACAGGGCCCCGCTGTTGTGTCACTTTTTGTCGAGTGAGTGAACTCAAATCTATCCGTGCACTCGTCTATGGATTTGAGTTCACATTATCCCAAATGGTCATTACCCCGAATCCCTTGCGAAAAGCTATTGATTATATATTTTCCTTATATATTAAAAGAAGGGAATAACGGCGCCGGTGGTGTAGTGGTAAGCGTGCTTACCTCTCACCCCAGCAGGCCTGGGTTCAATCCCAGTCGGCGCCGCCGGGATGTTCTGAGGCATAACATCTCTGATCACGCCTTCCTTCGGAAGGGAAGAAAAGCCGTTAATCCCCGGTTCATGAGTTGATGGGTCGATAGGTAGGGTCCAGGTGTAGGAGCTGCTTTCCTGGCGCGTCGGTAGCATTGGTGCTCAGCACGGAAAACAAGATCGACGGAAAAAACAAACCAAAGGAAAAAAAAATTAAAAGAAGGGAATATTCCCTGCTTTATCATACATCCAAAGAATTAATTATTTTCTCTTTTATATATTCAAAGAAGGGAATATTCCCTTCTTTATCGTTTATCCAAAGAATTAATTATTTCCTTTTCTTATATTTTCAAAGAAAGGAAAACGCCTTGAACCATTAAGAAGTTTTTCTATTCTTTTTATACACGCGAAAGAAGATTCCAGGAGTGACTATAATAAACAAAAATAGTCAATCTAATACATGTCATACTTTTCTGGGGAATGGTTCATTCTGGGGAATGGTTCATTCTGGGGAATGGTGCATTCTGGGCAATGTTATAGAACCGAATTTCCCATTCAGCGTGTTGATTCAGGCGCAAGCTAACGTCATCTTCTGTCGAACTGTGCAGTGAGCTTAGCGAGAAATTCGTTTATGTTGCCGTGGTAAACCAAAGAGAAAGTCGATGAAGAGAATCGATCAACGAGGATAGGTTCTTTTCAAATGTTACGCGAGAAACCACAATACTGGATTATTAACTTTTCGAGCACCAAACCGAACCGCGGATTCCATTTATCCGATTTCTTATGCTTTTTATACCGTTGGAAGGGTTATTTCCTCAACTTTTATTAATATGTTAATCACTCTACCTGTTTTTATCAGTCTATAAATCCAGATTATTAGTTTTTAACATAATTTTCCAGAGGACATTAGGTAGAGGAATTTAAATATTATCTTCAATCTAAGCAGCGTCCGCACTTCTATTAGCAATTTGTCAGCGTCACGAACACATGACGTTTTCGTTTGTTTGTATTTATCTGATGCTAGCTATTCTATTTATTCCAATCGACAGAATTGTCCAAAACGGGTTTAAAACGTTTTTACGACGCTCCAAACTTCTCACGAGAGTGTGACTATTGTCGGCAGCCTCTTTTTCTTCGGCAACCTTTCCACTTGAACTGCGTGTTAAACAGCTGTTCTATTATCGGCAACTCGAAATACCCCGCATTTTGAAGAACGTATATTTTATGATTCTGGCATAACAAGATTGCTCAGTCGTTAAAATGTAATCAGAGTGAAGCTGAAAGACTAAGATCTTTAAATACTTTCAGCAAACTGTTTCGGTGGTTTAACGTTTAAATTGTGGTTGCTGAAAACAGGTGCCGAAGCCAGCATTTACCCTACCTACTCTTTCAGTAATGCAAGTAAAATCCGACTATGTTGCATTCTACTAGATATTTTTATAAGCTTTCAGGGAAAAATATGCAAGAAGGAATAAATTAGTTTTAATTAGCTAAAACGGCTTGTCTACCTAGTACCGTCTCGACAAAAAATTAATTTCAACAAAAAAAATAACAAACGCTCCCACAAACTAACTTTGCCAACAAGATAAAAACATCAGAAATCCGTTGACAATAGCCGAAGATATTACAAAATTGAAGAAAAAAAAGTGATTTTACTCCGGTAATCGAAGAGTTAAAAACTTTTGAAAATCGTCCAAAAACTGATACTAAATAAATGCTAACTTCCATTTTGATCCAATTATTTAGCCTGGGCGTTTATCAAAACCAAACCAACGACAACGCGCCGACTACAGGGCAATAATGTGGGTGCCTTCTACGGATGACTCTCAACTCCGAATGCACAAACGGTCTCGCAGAGACAATTAATCTACCGATTAAGGGCAAATAAAAACCGTACCAATTGTACCTCACCTCTCTCTCACCCCCTCCCCTGAAAACAGGGGGAACAATGATCGAGAACATTCAATGACGTCACCGTCAATATAGTGTGCTGCTCATGTTGTGGCTTCTTTCTAGATTCAGCCTACCCACTACCAGTAGTAAGAGCGCAGTGATAAATATAGACAAACAAACGACGACGACGACGATGCGACGTGCAACGTGTAATTTAGGTGCAATGGGAAGCACATAGGCGCCGTTTGGTCACCCCACTATAGACGGGAAAAAAACTGCGTTTACTGGATACTTACATGTTCGTCCTTGTTATTGGAACTTTTGATCGGAATTTTGCCGCTAGCATTAGATGAATTCTGACTGGAAACTAGATTGTTGTTGGCGGCCGGTGTCGGAATTGCTCCACTGTTGGCACTACTTGATAGTTCATTGCCGATTTCGTGCACTACACTGTTGTTATTGTTGGTACTGGAAGTGACCGAAGATTTTTCCCCGGAGGAAACAATTCCAGCCGATGCATCTTTTGATGATTTACCGTTGCTATTGTTGTTTTCGTGCAGAGGTGGTGTGAATTCTCTTTTGATACGAACTTTGGAACTGCTGTTGTTTGTATCATCAGGGGTTGCCGACGGCTGTGACTGTGCCGTTCCAATGGAGCTGGTATTTTGCTGTTGCACCGCAGCCGCAGCTTCTACTACGGCTATCGCTGCCGCTGCAGCTGCTGCTGCTGCCTCTTTGGCTTGCACTATTTTGATATAATCCTCACTTTTGATCGATCTGAATAACCGTTCCAAGAATGGTTCCGTTTCGTGAGCGAGAAAAACATCCAGCTGTTCTTTCATGCAGTCCCGCAGATCTTTTTCGGGTTTGTCTTTTTTAAGCAGCGCCAACACGTACCGAGCCAATGCTCCCGGATCTGCGTCACACAGAGGTTCCAGGACCTCCGTCAGCCACGTCTTCAACGCATCCGGATTGTTTATATGCATCGCTGCTTTCGACCTTTCAATTTGTGTGGCGGATAACTACGAAATGACACCTCGACGAACTCTCCTGGAGAACACAACACGTCCGCCCTGCTGCTATTATTAAAAATCCACACACGCCGATCTACCTACGGTATTTCGATGTATTGTGTAATGGCGATGTTTCACTGAATTATTCTACTCTGTATGTGTGAGTACAGCTGCTGCAGAAAATTTTACTCTTGCTTCTTTTTCTTCCTGCTGTTCTTCTCTTCTTCTTGCCACCAGCGAAAAAACGCACCAAATTGGACACTATCTCGTCTTTTCGTTTTTTATTTCAATCTGAAACGAGAACAAACAGCACGATTAACAGATTGATTAACACCACTGGAGGAAAACTGACGAAAAAACATTAATTTTAGCAATCCACGCACCAGTTGACTAGCGATAAAATTAATAAGAAACAATCTCGTTCAACTTCAATCTCCACCATTCGCTTTTGCCTTTTCCGACTCTGGCTACTGGCACTGATGATGGCTGCCTGACTAGACTGTCCATGGACCAGTGCTGCCAGAAGCGCAGAGAAAATAATGAATCGCAATTGCATGCAAATAGAAAATTGAATAATGTGAAAATGGTTTTTGTATATTGGAAACGATACACTGATAAATTGAACTATTCCCATTTTGGTTGAAATTTAATCAATTTGACATTAAATTCAGTTTAATCATATCGAATGATTAAAAATTAATCCTCTCTTTCTAAAAAATAAGCATCTGATATTAATCCCAGTTTAATCATGATTGATTAGATTGTAGATTATCTTTTTTTGAATAAACTTTAATCATTTTTGATTATATTTTAATAATTTTTGATTGAATTTTAATCTTTTTTGATTGTACATCAGTATTGAAAAAGAAAAAAAATTAATACTGGAAAGATTATTTCGAATCTGCTAACTACCGAAGTAATCATGGCTCCGGACTCAATTGGCAAATCAAAGTTGGCACTCGTGGAGAATAGAAGAACTATAACAGTGATGATGGTTTCAAAATTTTCCACGGGGAAGTATACAAATGCAATCTTAAAATGCTTTTATTTTGTAAATGGAACATTTTATTTAAATCTGGTTGCTGCTACAGTGGTAGAAAAGCTCAAATCTATGTGTACACCTAAAAATCTGAAAATAAATTAATGTTTCTGTATTATTTGTCTATTGAGTAGTCCTTAAGTTTTCTACTAACATAGCATCAACCAGAATTAAATAAAATGCTCCATTTGCAAAATAAAAGCATTTTAAGATTGCACTCGTATACCTCACCGTGTAAAATTTTGAAACCATCATCACTCTCATAGTTCTTCTATTCTCCACGAGTGCCAACTTTGATTTGCCAATAAGGTGAAGCGGGAATCTGCATACTTTTTAAGCTTTTTTTATTTTATTTATCTTTGAGTGTATGCTCATTAATGTGGTGTTTACATCTGTGCTGTTTTGCTAGCGCTAGTGTACTAGTTCTGTACTAAAAAATAGTCAGCATAATGTAAAAAGGGCGTCAGCATCTAGCAGCATGATATTTCAGGAACAACTGAAATTCGTGCTAGTTGGTTGAGCTGGCTGTGCTAGTGTACTAGCAGAAGTGTGAACAGTTCATAAACCTTGGAAAAATGCTCATTTACTGCGTAGCTACTCAGATTTACTGTACAGCCCGTGTTTTCTGTAGTGAGGGGAGCACCTCGGGGAGCACTGGAGCACAGACAAGAAGTTAAATTTTGACAACCGTGGCTCGAAAACCGGTCGATCGACACGGGAATTTTCAAACATAGAGAATAACTTTCGAAATGTCACTTTTAACCACGGGTTAAATCGAGGGTTAAATTTAGCTCAGCAAAATTTGCCATTTCAGTGTCAACATTTCAAAGGGGCGTAATTGTATTTATAAACAATGACTTTATCCGTCGATTTCTCGTGAATTAAAACTTACTCATGAAGATTAATGACACAAGAAGGGAGATGATTACCAGCTAGCATTGTTAATTTGGAGGGATGAACTTTTATTTGCGAGAAATCGATAGCTGTTTACTTTGAAATGTTGGCAAAACTCAAAGAAAACCAGTTTTTCCTGTGATTCTTAAGGGCCACCCACATTAGATCCGTTTGCGTTGCTTTGACGTAAATTTGACAGTTAGACAATAGATTTAGCTGTTACTTTGCAGCAACGCGTCCGATCCGGATTTAATGTGCGTGGGCCTTTAAGAAAATTGACGTGCACAAACATTTTTTTTCTGCATCATTATGGTAAAAAAGTCTAGTATAAATACCGCAAAACCAGCAGACCTTAGGCCGTTCGCGATGCTGCTGTATTTTATATGGATTGTTTCAATTTTAAACTAGAACAGAAACGCACCCCTCGCAATGCTGAGTTGCAGTTTCATTATTTGAGCACTATTTTGCACCAGATTCACAACTGCTCGACTGTTCGGTTTTATTTCCGAGCGGGTTTGAAACACGAATGGAACTCTGTTTCATATTTCTGTTGATGTATTCATTTAAGTTGAGAAGATTCAAAAGAAATTTGGTAATTTACAGAAATTTTGGGAACTTCTGAGAGGTTTGAGGATATTTTATAGAAGTTCGGAGAACTTAATTTAAATAACGAAGACCTTCTCAAAAAATCGGAGAACTTTATAGAGAACAGTAAACTGTAGGGAAATTGTATTTTAGAAAAGTTTCAGGAAGTATCATTGAAGATTGGGTAATTTCAAAGAAGTGAGCGGTTTTTCATAAAAAGATCGGGCACGAAACGAAAATCAATTATTTTATTCATGTGTTTCACTTATACCTTTTTGCCAAAACATCAGTCTTATACATTCCATAAGACAAATCACATAGGTCCTATAAGACAGCATAAAAGGTATGTGTAACCGCTTATACATTTCATTCGACGCATGATATTCATTAAATTTTTGCAAGGCGTCTGCTTTTTAATTGACTTTTAATTTTATGAATAATCAGAAATAGAATTTTGCCAAAAGGTATAAAGAGATTTCTATCCGTGGGGAACAGACTCGTAGTTCTAAGAATTTCATAGTAATTTATAGAATTTCATGAAAGCGCTTGCGTCTTTTACATCAAGAAGATATTCTCTCATATGATACCAGGCAGTCAGAAATTATTCTAATGATCTGAAGGTGTTCTAAGATCTCTATGAAGTCCGTTAGATATTTTTTTCAAAACTTCGGGTTGATCAGGTATCATTCTAAAAATATTCAAATATTCAACTATCTAAATCACATCTCTCAGATATCCTCTCATATGATACCAGGCAGCTAATAAATTATTCCATGTGTTTTAAGATGTCTCTAATGTTCTCTGAATACTTTTTCTAGACTTCAGTGAGATCAGGTACTATTCTGATGAAGATCTCGAATATCCAACAATTCCAATAACATCTCCCTGATATTATCTCATGATACCATAAAATATTCCAAAGGCTTCTGGTGATCAGAGATCTCCAAAAACTTCTCAGGATGTTCTCATGTCTTCAGGTTTATTTAGTATAATTCTGAAGATCTTCAACTTAAAATATTCACTTCAGATATTCACCTACGATATCAGGTTGCTCAGAAATTATTTCAAATACCATCAGGTGATCAGCGATCTCCATGAATAATCATACTTTATTTTTTTATATGTTTCGACAGCAGAATCGTCCGGGACCTCTTCTCGTGGTTCGTACTCGTTACCTGATACTGGATTACGAATCATCAAAGCAAACAAAATCTGCAAACGCACACATATGTAGCGATAAATACCAAACTCCGTTTGGAACTGCACGTCGCGCTGATCGTGTTGCAGTTTAATTTTTGACAGTTTCAAATTTTAGAACTGTTGAGTAGTTCGAAACAATTTTGAAACTTAGCATTGCGAACGGCCTTACGATTTTGTTTTTTTACCAAAATTTTATTGTATTTTGCATTTGTAGGTTAACTCTTCAAAAGTACGAAATCTCCAATAAAAGTGTGTTTATGAATCAAGGAATAAGTGCGCCGAAGACACAAAAATGACTTAATGTAAAAGCGCACTTTTATAAGGGATTCCGCACTTACAATGTGCGCAATAAAATTATGAAATAGAAATATTTTTGGAATTACAGAAAAGAAAAACTGATTTTTTTGAATATTATATATTTTTCCTAGTTTGTTTTCCACTATTTTAAGAAAAATCAAAACGTACCAAAACGTGTCAAGCTCATTCTAGAAGCCTGCCCGTCGCTTCACTCATCTGACTAAACAACACAGACAGGACAGTAAATCTAAATAGCTACGCAGTAAAGGAGCATTTTTTAAGGTTTAAGGAGCATTTCGACAGTGAGCATGCATAAGGGCGTATACACGATGATTGATTCCTTTCATCGATTTTCTCTTTGCATTTCGACAGCTAAGCGAAACAATTTTCTAGAATTTGTTTAATGCAGAGTTGTAACAGGTTGCATTGGCTATCAAAAGCAACAGCAAAGGCACAGAGAAACGTTAATTCTAGCGAGTTAACAAAAGAGAAAATCGACGAAGAGAATCGATCATCGCGTTTACGCCCTTATGCATGCTCACTGTCTATTTCAGCGTTTTATGCCGTGGCCAGGGTAGACGCGACACGCAACTCACGCAAGAAATAATAATAAATAATAAGATTCTTTTGAAATGGCCAGGGGGAGAAAAAATACTCATTTCAATTAAATAAATATTAATTGCACATATTAAAACACGTTTATTGAATTATATTTTTCAACAGTCAATTATTTACACGGATTAATAGTAATTTTATTCCAGGAAATAATCACCATCAGCTAGACCATCAGCACAGCCATCAGTGTTGTCTACGAATAATTCCTCCCGAACGTAAAGACGCCGACAAACCAGCATGAATGATCATACAAATTACAAAGAAATTTCTGATCAAAGCACAAAACTGACATCTGCCGCCGTGTTCGCGGAACATATTTATCCTAGTCACGAACATGCGTACAAAATTTATGAGTTGGTTCGTGTCTAATCTATTTAGGACAAATTATTTTTATCTAGATAAAACATTTCTATGGTTTTGACAGATGGGATCTCTGCACATTTGGATCGGCCGTTATGGATTCTCGATCAAGAGTTAAGTTTAAGTTCCATGCCGGTTTGTCGGTGGTAAAGAGCTGGGGTTTCAATACTTACTGTTGGGATTGGATCGTAACCTTGAATAATAATTATATGTAATTATGGAAAGTTACTCTACGCTCGTATACCACTCCGTGGATTATTTTCAATCATCATCACTTTCATATCTCCACGGGAGCTAACTTTGATTTGCCTCCTGGGATTTTTTTTCCGATTTTCGAAACCTTTCAGGCTTCCTCTGGATGTGTCATTTAGTTTTTCCTCAAGCAAACCCCACACGCATCAATATATTGACGCGAAGGGGAATTATTGACAATAATATTGATGATGTGAATTCAGAAATATTGTCAATCTCGATATATTGACGTCAATATAGCATGTATTGACAATACGATTATTGTCAATAAAAGCAATCGTGTAGGGTTCACTTCAGAAGTGCCTCAATATTTTACATGGAAGTTCCTCGGATGTTTTTTTGAGTTTAGCGAACCCCACACGTATCAATATATTGACGCGAAAGGGAATTATTGACAATAATATTGATGATGTGAATACAGAATTATTGTCAATACCGATGTATTGACGTCAATAAGGAAAGCATTGACAATACGATTATTATCAATAAAGTGAACCCTACACGATTGCTTTTATTGACAATAATCGTATTGTCAATACATGCTATATTGACGTCAATATATCGAGATTGACAATATTTCTGAATTCACATCATCAATATTATTGTCAATAATTCCCCTTCGCGTCAATATATTGATGCGTGTGGGGTTTGCTTAAAAGCAATCGTGTAGAGTCCACTTTTCCTTAGCACTTTTTTTCAAACTTCGTACAGAAGAGCTTTTCCTGGAAGTTTTCTCAACTTCCTTCAGAAGCTGATTCAAACATTCCTTGGAAATTTCTTCCGACTTTCCTAAAAAGACCGTTCGTAGCCCAAAATTTTAAATTTCCGCGGCAAAAACTATAAATAGAAAATACCGATTTTTTAAAACCTATGACACCGACAGGCTTGAAAACCATCTGGCAACGCTGACTTGGTCGCACTCGCGATGCTCGCGATCGACGTCGTCGTATAGCAGCTCGCAGCCGTGTCACTTCACTCGTCCGTTCGAATATTGAACACCCCCCCAGAGCAGGTATGCACGAGACACTCTGCTTATTTCGATTCGGGGAGGTGAAAAGAGTTACATAAAAATAGCTCAATAAACAAAATGTTCCATGCTGAGAGAGCCTCCCATAGGAATCTTACCTGGTGGGGGACAACTAGAAACGGCGCACTAGCCGATCAGGGGTATCGGAAGGTCCCTTTTCCGAGGTCACCACCAGCTCACAATGCGTTTGGTATCCTGATAACGATTTGCAATGGCGAAAAACTACTTTTATCGCCCGATTCCTTGCTGTGTGTTTTGCACGCACGCAGCAGTAAAAATACTTTTCACTCGTTTTACTCCTATCGCTACTGACGACTGACTTAACTGGTTTGACTTCACGCGTTTTGCTCCCGAAATATTCTCGAAAGACGATGACAAAAAATGTCAAATATTGTGTCCAGTGCAAAAAATGCAGAACTTGCATTCACTTTTCGGCATGTTGATATGTAAAAATGACTAAATTTTCTGAAATTCGCCCATCCTTTTTGCACTGGAATGGTTTGTTGGCGTTGAAAATGAAAACATCAAAGCACCATCAGCTCTTGGTCAGATTGCTCGATTCAACAAGGAGTTGCACGGTCGATCAGACAAACTCAAAATTGAATCAAGTCCACTCAATTGACCACTTTGTCGAGCAGTTTTGGCGTGACTTTCTACTAGCGATTTCACAAAACTGGACCAACTAATTACTATTTTTTATGAAACGCACAAGTGTTGGCTGCTTTTCTCGTGGTTCTAGAAGAAAAAGTCTCAAAATAATGTTTTATTTCGAGTGGTAGTAAACGTCATTTTAACTGCTCTAATGAAGTGGTTAACTAACCACTTTAATCGAACAGTTAAAATGACGTTTACTACAACTCGAACATAAAACTGCTGGGTGTAGGAGAAGACATCATAACAAAAAGACTGGAAACTTTGCCATAATCCAAGCGATAGATACAATAGCACTGCACTTGAGTGAAGGGGGAAGCAACGCATAGAAAAATGAGCAAATACACAAACCTTTCTTCTGAGGATGTAATCTTTGATATCAAATTCGTTCGAAGCATTTACTTTTGAGCGGCACATGACGGGATTGTAACTGTGTCATAGCGTTCGTATAAGAAAATTGAAGAGTTACCAGTGATTTGTTGTCTTCGGTGTAGGGTAAATGCACCTACACCGTGAACTCCCGGTAAACTAACTGTTTTAAATCTGAACACTTTTTAATTTGAACCCCGTTAATCTGCACGCCCGTATTAACCCGAACCCTCGCCCGAACCATATCTTGACCTTACCGAAAATGGTTAAAAATTGTATATAATCCCTGCTAAACTTTAACTGGAATGGTTATGGAACTTTACATGAACGTTTATGTGATGATAAAGTTTTAATCTTATGTCGTATGGTTTTTTGGAAGTGGACTTTACAAATAATGGGTTGTTAAGAACCATCCCAAGGAACAATTGGTTGCATCAAATAAGCACATACGCCTAAGAGAAGCCTAATGACTGCTTCCCTAGTTGAATAATATACTTGTTGAATCATTACTTTAATAAAACATATTTCCATTTCATTAAATCCTTTTGTTCCACTGCACATCTATGCCTGAAGTAATAGTTGATTAAATAACTTTACTAACAAAAAAGTTGCTTTTGTTCCAATAAACATTGATGGTTGAACAATTAGCAGCTTAAAAGCTTTTGAAGATTCTACTAACTGATTTGATCAGCTAATGCATATATGCTTAACGACATATTTTACTAGAGTTGTTGTGTTCTGTACTAAAGCTAATTGGCAGCTTGATTATTTAGATAATAAAACAATGTGAATAATAGCATTGCAATACACTGTTATTCATACAAAAGTAATTTGATCTTGAGTAATGTTTTTTTGAAGCGTATCAAACGTTTTTATAATACTGTAGGTGATTTATGTAGAAAAGCGATTTAACAGCATTTTTGTATCCGAGTTCACCTTTGTTCTATCTCGTCCATCAGTTCGGTTCGTTTTATTTTGCTGCTCAAAATGGATAAAATTTACAAAAAATACAAAAAAAGTGGATCATTTTACAGGAAATTGAAACGTACACGTGAAAAATACGAAGTTATGTTTAAAAATATTTGTTCTAACCCCGGGTTCAACAAACAAAATGATTACACAATTAATACCGCATCTGTATCCGATGAATCAACTCGTAAGTCGATGAAAATGTATTAGTACAACGGTAAATGTTTAAAAAATCTATTTGACCTATTTTCTATTTAAGATCTCGGCAATGAGGATCATGAAAATAGCATGAGTATGGCAGCTAATAGCGATATATCGGATTTAAGTGGAACATCGTGTACCTATATCTTTGAGGAAGTCAATGGAGAAGGCTTAGTAGACCTCGCAAAGCTGTTCGATAACCCTGAAAAGGAGGACATCCAAACTGCTATCAAAGAGTGGTCTTTACGCCACAACATAACTCACAAAGCATTGAAAGATTTATTGCAACTTATGAGACTCCAATACAATGACCGACGATTACCCGCAGATCCTAGAACATTACTTGCTACTCCACAAGATACGGGAAAATTATGCATCGAAATGGCCGGTGGACAATATTGGCATTTTCGACTCCAGAAGTGCTTAGAATATTGGTTCAATAATCTAGTTGAGGACATTTCAATAAGTATCAACTTTAATATAGATGGACTCCCAATACACAAAAGCTCAAAATGCCAATTATGGCCAATTTTATGCAACGTCCATGGCGCACCTAGTCTGAAACCGATGCCTGTGGGAATTTTCTTTGGAAAACACAAACCCTCAAACATAAATGAGTTTTTAACGCCGTTTGTCAACGAAATTATCCCTATTCTACGGAACGGTATTGTTGTAAATGGCTGCACAATCAATATCAAAATTAGATGCTTCATTTGTGATTCTCCTGCTAGAGCTTTTGTAAAAGGTGAATCATATAATAACTTGATATTAAATCATTTTTAACATAAAAGTAGTTTTTCTACATTTTTAAATCATATCTTATATTTTAGGAGTTGTAAACTTTAACAGCAAAAATGGATGCCTCAAATGCACGATAAATGGCGAATATTCTCATATCTCACGAACAGTCATTTTTCCATCCTTACGCTGTACGCTAAGAACTGACGAAAAGTTTCGAAGAAAAATGTATGGGAAACATCACAATGGCGAGGAATCTCCTATCCTGAGAATTCATGATGTTGACATGGTAAAGGATTTTATTGTAGCTGATTCTCTGCATCTCCTAGAGCTTGGCGTAATGAAACGACTTCTAACCGGCTGGAGAGATGGTAAATTGGGATTTACCGGCAAACTGAGTGCATTCCAAATCCAAAAATTATCAGATAGGATTACTAAAATCAGATTGCCTTGCGAATTCCATCGTAAAATAAGATCTTTAGACTGCTTAGCTTTTTGGAAAGGCACTGAATGGCGAACGTTTTTGAATTACATCGGAATCATCGTACTGAGTGATATATTAGAGGAAACACTGTACTACCATTTCCTTGTTTTGTTCACTGCGGTCACAATCTGTTCGTCAGACTTCTATATAAATTTAAGACCGTTGGCGCAAGAGCTTTTTGAAAAATTTATCGAAGAATTCCAAAGCATCTACGGAGAAGAGTATATTACTAGTAATATACACAATCTAGAACATGTGGTAGCTGACGTTGAAAGGTTCGGATCTTTGGATTCCATTTCAGCGTATCCATTTGAAAATTATTTATGTCAGCTAAAAAGATGCCTAAGACAAGGAAACAACTGTTTAGAACAAGTGGCCAATAGAATCCTGGAGAAAAGTACTGTGAAGGATACACGAGAAACGCCCAAAGGACCATTTCCAAACTTGTTCAAGCGAAAAAATAACCTACATTGCTCAGTTAGAGATGGCTTACTACTAAATCAGTCTTTTGAGAATTCATGGTTTTTATCAAAGCAGAATGAAATTGTTAAAATGTGTGATGTTTCATATGACGAGCACAATCAAATTGTAATTCAAGGTTGTTCCGTAGCATCACCTAGTGATTTTTTCATTTTGCCAATCCGCTCTTCATACCTACGTATTTATAAGGCAAAAATTTCGTTTACTAATAGATGTAATCCGTATCGCCCAACAGATATTGCTTGTAAATATGTAATAGTAAGTTATAAGGATGGCTACCATGTTTTTGTACCATTGCTACACACATTTTTGTAAATCAGAATGGTATTATTAAAATACATGAAAGTTTCAGTTATCATAAAAATGTTTATTGATTTTATTTGTTTACCATTACATTTTAAATAATGTATTAGTTCTTTTAGTCATGGTTAAAAATTCGTGGTAGCTTTTTTGTTTCTTGCAAATCTGTGCTTGAACCACTTGTATAAAATAAAAACTGCATTAGCGTAACTTACAGCGTGTAGAAATCAAAGGTTAAAAATACACTAAAACTAAATCTTCATTTTAAACTGCACATCATTTTAAAGTGCATCAACAATAGTTATTTATCGATTAGAACCACTCGATTCAAATTATTGATTATTAGGTCGAATTAATATGAAGCTCACATTCCTCCACTTTGCTTACTAGCATCTCGTTATCTGTATCATCACTAGAAGATGATTTGCTTGATTGTGAGTCATCGTCCGATGTGGAAATCCATTCTTTCCTGGTTTTGTTTGAATTTCGGGTCGAAGCATCAGCCGCTAAAAGTTCGAAAAATAATCAATAAAGAATCAACAGCAGAACAAAAATGCTATCAGAATTACCTTTAACAAGTTTGTTATTTGACCTCTTCGCTCTACGATGAATGCTAGGTTGACGCAATCCCTTAGCTTCACTCCTTTTTTTAGAATTTCGTGCCACTTGCTTGAAAAAATGCTCAAGCAGCTGTTTGGAGAACGTGGTATTTACACTATGGACGATTGCAAAAAAAGTATCCAGAATGTTGGTACAATTCTTGATAGCCAATTTGATGGTCGTACTGCGACTAGCGCCACTCCATGAACATTTCATCATGACATTACGTTCAAAAAAATGGTCCACCAACGTGTAGGAGATGTTCAACCCGTTGCAGTTATCGCCAACGTAACCAATAACCTTTTTCATATAAGAGATCTGTAAATAAATCAAATACATGTCCTATGAGCATTTAGATATCGAAGGAAGAGTTAACAATTTGCTTAAATTATAGTTCAAAAAGCAATCGTATCGCCATGAATACTGTAGAAATACAAACTTACGAATCGCTTTGAATAGGTTTCATCTGCAAGGTTCTTTTCCAGCTCATTAATCTGTTCGGTGGATGACATTGGGGAAAAAGTAAACTTTTCGTCATTTTCATCAGACGGGTTTGTTTTAGCACGTAAAGCTGCTGCAAGTTTCACGTCTATGTCACTCTTGAACGCTGCCATCATGGATCCTATTGCCGAAAGCATTGCTTGCTGTATTTTTGAACACTCCAGTTCGATTTTTTCAGAGACAGCATTAACGATGTAATCAGCATCAACAACGGGCTATGGAAAATAAAATACGCTACCTAAGATAGGTGTAAAAATAGCATGAAGCAGTCCTACCTGTTGATAATACACGTATTCACCCTCCGTCATTATCGCTTGCATTTCATCTGTTGCCCGTTGTCCGGCTTCGGTACCTGTTGTCAGGTAAACAGATTGATCGGGCTGCTGCGTGGAAAAGATGTCATCTACCTGGTTTACACTTGGAGAGCACAGCAAGTTACGAGCAAGAACCGGATGATTCTGAGAATCATCGACGACCGATGTGACATTTGACTGCGGGCCTGTATGTTCCGTTCCGGTGTTCAGGTTAAGGTTAGGTTCATCAGCAGCGATGAATGTCGTACGAAATTTGTCATTCCCTACAAAGTCAATATTCAATGTAAAATGAGAAAGATGAAACAGTATAAAAATACCAACCATTTCCTGCAACCAGGTGGTTGAAATCAAATCTTCTGCTCAAACCATCCTTTGTTGTCTTCTTCTGTTTCTTCTTTCGTGGAGCCGAATCAGAACTCTCTGTGTTTTGACCTGAAAGTTCAGCAGCTTCCATTTCGGCCTCCTCGTAAGAAGGGATATACTTCCTTTTTACGCTGCATGCAATTTTACTCCAGCCGCTGGTTGGCTCTGACTTCAGGTCCTTCCGTAGTTTGTTAGCATTTTTTTCCGGCCACATTAAAAATCCATTGCAAACCCAGCGATGGGGAACCGCTGTCAAGACGAGTTTTCCTGCCTCCTTTGTTTGCACAACATCGAAATAATCTGTAATAAGTAGTCGATGCATTAACTTTTGATAGATAGTGTTTATGATATTTTGTCAGTAATTTACTTTTATGTTGATCCATTTTGTAGACAAAACTGGTAATAAACAGAGAGTTTGATGGTCACTCACGTTGCAACGACTGACAGAGATACAAAAATGGCACATCAGTTCAGGTCCGTTGTTAATCGTAAACGTCAAAGCTTGCAACAGTGCAGGCAGAAATTTGGAAAATGTTTGATAAACTAATATACTGTGGAAGTAATCACTTGTTCAGTAGGCAACCGATTGTATGATGAGCAGTCGTTGAAATATAATGGAAGGTAATGCTTTATTCAACTATATTGATCAACACATTACAAATCTGCTGTCTATATAGCCTATAGGCGGTATCATGTGGAACAGTAAATTAGCACAACAACTCTTCAGTATAATCTCCCGTAGCTTTTATGTGCGATTAGTTACATCTTATGTTATCATCCAGGATAGCTCAGATGGTATGCCAGCGACTATAGATCAACGGAGGTGAGTTCAAATCCCATACAATCACTTTATAATAAAATGTAATTATCATTTAAATTTTCAGAATACACATTCACTAGCAAACATGATTGTAAATTATGTATCAACTTCAAAATTAAAAGTTTCTTCATAATCGTGTTGCCTTAACTTTAACAGTATCTGTAGGTTGATTTATTAAAAGATCTTTAGAACCGATTGAATGTTACAACAACGATTAGAGGAGATAAAATTTTGCCATAGCCTTATAATATTTGATGCAAAGTTTCAATGACAACAAAACATAATTGTATAAGACTCGTTGACATGATATAGTTGTTTTTCTACAACAAAGTGATGTAAGTAAATACGAATTATGAAAGCTGCTAGAAACTACTCTCAAAACTATATCACACGTATAAAATGTTCAAAGAACTTATCCGTAGTCTTAAATCAGCGTAATTGAAAGCGACATAGTAGCAACTTAAACATATGATTTCAATTACTAATAGACCACAAACTGAATAAATTCTCCAGAATTGTGTGAAGAATGTGTGTGTAGCAGCTGCATACCAAGATAAAGCAGCAACTATTCAGTAAGCAACTAAATAAAACAGCTCAATAAATGTTAATTAGGTATGCAATTGTTTCTTGGGATTACTCCTCAAAATAATTGTTTTCTCCATACATTTTCGGAAAGAGAACTATATTAGAACCATTTAACGTATTGTTTGAGAATTTTAATGGTAATGGTTATGGTAGTCAGTAAAGTCCATGGATGGTTTTGTGTTGTCGGTCAACTTTTCGTGGAATATATCGCGAATTAGCAATAATTAATTAACAGGCAACCTATTCGCGATATATTCCACATAAAGTTGATCGATGTTACAAAATCATCCATGGACCTTACTGACTACCATAACCATTACCATTAAAGTTCTCAAACCATAAGTTAAAAGGTTCTAATATAGTTTGCTTTCCGAAAATATGTGGAGAAAACAAGGATTTTGAAGGATAATGGTTCTTAACAACCCATTATTTGTAAGGTTAAAACTTTATCACACAAACATTCATGTAGAGTTCCATAACCATTTCAGTTAAAGTTTAACAGGGATTATAAACAATTTTTAACCATTTTCGGTAAGGTAATATTAAGGTTCGCGTTTATGCGGGCGGCGTGCATAGAGATTGCTAAAGTATGATTGTGTCAGTGCTTTGTTTTCATCGGGAAAATTTTCCGCTATGAAGTTTTTTTTTCCCGATGAAAACTTTTTGCGTATACGTATACGTGACATAGTGTGCGTACGATAAACGTCAGCAATCTCTATATTAAAAATTGCTCAATCGTCATTTTGCACATGGAACGGAGCAAAGAGAAATGGAACATTGCTAAACGGAACGGAGAATGAAAACAAAACAGAAAATAAGGCTACCAGAAACACGCTTTTCCGATGATGATGATACACACAAAGAACAAAAATTGTTGCAATAAAAATAATGCATTTTCAAATTAAAAGTTTCGCAAATTTCGTAGTTTCAACTACGAAAATATTCAAATGAAAAGTTATTGTTTTGTTTTGAAAGTGTTTCTTTTACTCTCGACTCGCTATTTTAAAAGCGCATTCTTTAAAAATAAAAGTTGATCAACTTTCAAAAATACCTTTTCATAGCGATGTTTTTGGCAACACTTGACCTCCATTTGGCGCTAAATTTGAGTTGACGTCGATTGATGGAGGAATGGTTTTGGCTGGCTTCCATAGGAGTTTTTTGAGTATGGTAATTGATTCAACGGTAAGTTTAATAAACTACGAAACCATAATTGATGATGATGAATCTATTTATGAAACGTAACCAATAATTTCATCTCCACAGATCAACGTATTTAACTCGGTATTCAAGGCGCTTAGTGAAGAGCTCCATTCTGATCTTGAATTTGCTCATCTTCCGTGGGAATAATCTGACAACCATCTGCTAAATCTATAAGCTGCATACAGGTATAGCTCCAATCACCCATAATTGCTAATTGTACCATTCTCAAGACTTGTAGATTTACAAGAAATAACTAAAGGTTTCCAATATTGATTTGTAGTCTAAATACCCGGAACAGGTACCAGTTGCAGGATGAAGCATCCCATGAGCTGCAGTGGAAAAATCATCGGAGAACTTCGAGCCCACAGCAGCGACGTCTTCGGAAACCGGGTAGACATAACATGAATAACATATTTATAGAATATAGTATATACTATTAAATATTATCAAGAAATTAAAAATAATATAAATAATTAAAAAAATATTATATTGAAAATGCTTGTTTTTAAATCGACAACATTTATTTTTCCTATTCAAAGTGGCACATTTTATTTACACTATATTAAACTTTCATGTCAAAAGCTTGTTTGAAACACGCTGTTGATTTAAATACTGCCATGCTTTCAATTTGACAGTTCTACAACTCGATTTGAAAGTTTCAACTTTTGAAAGTAGGGAGTGGGCAACTTTTGAATTGACAGTTAGATTACTTTCATTTTGAAAGCTAGCCGCTTTCTACCAAAAAGAACCAATGCAAACTTTTAATTTCACTAATGGTTTTTTTAATTTTAATAATGATTATTTTGTGTGTGTAGGGTTACTAGAATTGAAAATAAAAATTAACCCCATTATGCAGTGTCTTTCTGAATAGCGTGGGTCCATTTTTGCCAAAATTTAGTCCACTCGGTTAGCTAATGTAATCGTACTTATTTAAAATAGTTCCAGCGTACCAACATTGATGAAATTTTGGATTTCGGTTCCATTTATAACTCGGTTTGAAGTGATCTGATCGACCGTGTAGATGTAGACTCGAAAGAGCTCGAAAAATAAATTTTGACAGTAGTTCACTTCGACGTTCGATCGATTCCGCAGAGAAAAACACTTCTCAGCTCCATCGAGTTTGGATTTTCGGTCCGGATTGTTCGTTTGAAAACGAAAGGAATCCCGTTTACCGTCGATTCTCGAACGGTTTGTGTAGGAAATTTCACCGTCTCACGATGTCCTCGAGCACCGGCGGCGTGAAGCCCATGACCATCACGGGCCGTATGGTCCGTGAGCGGGAGCGTTTGCTGGGAATGACCCAGGAAGAACGTGCCTGGCGATCTCAGTGGCTGAAGGATCAACAGCTGGCTCACAATGAGCCCCGACACGTTCCGGAATACTGGAAGGAACGATTGAATCCGATCCGTCGGGTCTACCGTGCCCCACTCGATCTGGTGCAGAAAGGACTGACGCCGGTTTTGGTAGGACTGTGCACGGGTGATGCTGTTCGAATGCTGGTGGTTATGTAATTTTTACTTTTCCACCTACAGGGACTAGACTGGGCTCATGCCATTCGATTCTGGACCGGAAGAATCGGATTGATTGCTTTCGGTATCTACGCCGGAGCTTACTACTTCAAATATAATCAAAATGTAAGTTTCGCCATGCACGGTTTGGTTGACTTGAGCATAATATGCTAAATATGTTTGTTTTGTTTGTACTTTGCTAGGACTGGACCCGAAAGGGAGGTTGGCGAGTGATTCACTCCCGCACGGCGGTGGTCCCTGGTGATGAAGGATATCCGAACTTCCCACAGCGCAGCAGTCCCGCTGATTATGCTGCCCGCGGTTTCAAGCAGTCTCCGATATAGTTGAGCGGTAAAAACAACTTTATGATTGTGTAGATTTGGTCGAAAATGTAAAAAATAATGGCGTTACAATTTGATGAGATCGATTGTTGATTTTGAAGTGATGACTCTGCATTCATAAGCTTAATTTGGGTATTGTGCTGATTCACATGGCCATGCCAAATAAATATTTAGGCAAATTTAGGTAGTTCGAGGTCTCGACAAAATATTCATATGTTATAGGGGAAATGGATCTAAGATTGGGCCCATCGCTAATAATCTGGTATTTATCAATTTCATCTAGAAACGCGTCATTGGGACGGTACTAATGGATATTTTTGGTCGCTATTGAAAATTTAGTCGATTGTTGAATTTATATGTATGGGCCCAAATTTAGGCCGACATTGGTGGGCGTTGGCCAAATTTGGATTTTTCAGATATAATCCTAAATAGGACCTATATTATTTAATACTCTAGTAACCTCAAGTCCGTGCTCTGTCACAATGTTTCATTGTGATTAATCAACACTCAAAGGGGTAAAATATAAAATTTGGGGTAAATTTGAAAGAAAGGGAACTTGGAGTGTAGAGCGCACTGCCCACTGGACGATTCTGAAGCCTGGCCAAGTGAGTGGGGTATGGGTTTATTTGATTGAACGTCATTTCCAATATATATATTCATACATTCAAATCATTGGCATTTGAGATAATACAGAGATAGGATGCGGAGGGCCCGCTTAAGAGGAGCGTAACCCATGTTATGGTTTCCATTTATTAAATAGTTCAGATTGGCTAATGACAGGTTTATAGTGAGAGAATGTACCATATTGGGAAAGCATAATTTTTATAGGGTTCAGAGCGGCTAAGCTGTTCGTTTGTAGTTTGACCTTCCTTCAAAACCAGTTTGGCTCTAGAACCATTTTAAACTTGTTCTGCATTATTCACATGTTGCAATTATTGAAAAGAGCTCGATATAAGATAGTTACAGAAAACAGACGTTGAGGCTCCAAAATTTCTCTAAAAACTTGTGTAAAGATTCCTATCGACTTCCCCACTTAAAACCCCTCTTTGATAACATGATGGCGCTGGCGTTGCAAAACTTACACTAGACACTAAGTGCTGGTATCGCCAAGTGGCAATTTTCAACAGATAATTTATCGATACTAGCGCCAAATCGGTCGAAAGTGATAAAATTATAGAGGAAATCAGGAGATACTAGCGCAACGTAACGGCAACGTTTCCACTTAACTTTACACAAGTTTTTGACCGAACTTGGACGTCTGGTCTCAATGAGATAGCATACAATTAAATAGAAATCCCAAAATCTTACCGAGTAGTTTAGCTGTTCTGATTTCGGTACAGTTTGTTGAGGTCGGGTATAGTTTCTGAGTATGGATGCCCATTTTGAAATAACTCATATTAGCACAGAGTAATAGTTTTATTGCTAGGGAACTTTCTTTTGGGATCGTCTTTTCTTCATACAATTCTCATTATTCATACTATACTAATCATGATCAGTCTTAGAAAATATTATATGTTTAAGCCCCGTTCTAGATTTGTTTGTTATTCATATCTTATGCATTGCAGATCGCAAAAGGTTACCAAATATGGGTTCTTTTTCTCATCCACAATAGTTTTGGGGGAGGGGCGATCTGAGAGCTGAATAGAGGCAAATAAAATAGGGAACACAACACCATGACCCAAACGACTAACCAACGCGTGCAACTCACACTTAACTTGTTCTATTTCTTTCTTCCCCTCATGTACCAATATTACCTACCTGAGAACAAATGGAAACACGGCCAGAATTTCAATAGGAAGAAGGAAAAAAGCGAGAAAACGTAAGAGAGTATGCAGTCAGAAAGGATTAGGCCATTTGGAAGCAGCCAATTTATACTGGACGGAACTGGTAAGTAGGATAAGAATTGAAAAAGGTGTGTGCTTGCATGATTTACCTATTTTAGAATTACCTATAAGCCACATGAGAACATCATTTCCTTCAATTACTACTCCATTGCAACACACGCCTAATAATGATCACTAACATTCATATAGTTTCAGCATTATCGACATTTATAATCAAAAGGTGAGTTGCAAAGTATAATTACCATGCATAGATATAAGTTAATGTATGTACCAGAACCTGGACGGACACGAGCCTACCCAGGGGAGGACCCGGATACGACCACACATGTGTGTCTAGAGTATCGCACGAGCTGACGAGTGCAACGGAAAGGACAGTAGGTGTATAGACTAGGGGGTTAGTCCCTAGATAAGCCAACTTAGCGGTTGGCACAGCCTATACACTGAACAATTACAATGACAATTACAATGGGCCCAAATTCAGGCCGGCATTACATCAATTTCCCCTAGTTTTATTTCCTTGATTTGTTTTCCGTCGATCTTGTTTTCCGTGCTGAGCACCAATGCTACCGACGCCAGGGAGGTAGCTCCCACACACCTGGACCCACCCCGGGAGCAACTAAACAGCTCCAGTGTAATGCTAATGTACCCCGAAAATTCTGGTACTCTGGTTCTGTCAAATCGAATAATGGTGGAGTAAATTTACAATTGGTCTTATTTTTTTTCAACTTTTTTTTCCCCGTTTTTAAGTTTTTTGTTTTTTTTCTTAACTTTTTATAAAAACATTGATATTTTTTTCTAATAGTCTTCCAATCGACTCAGCATGAGTCTCTATTTATGTGTGTGAGAGAGCGCGTAAGACAATTTTCTTATATGTATTTCTCGGCAACCACTCTACCGAATTGATCGCAACAACAACCAAATGAAAGCTACCATGATTCTATAGAATTTTAATTAATAGACTTTCAATCGATTAACTGGTTCCGGATATATGGACGGAACAAGACCCTAAAATCCGGGAACTAAGTGATGTTTGTCGGCAACGACATAACCGAAATAAACGAAACCCTTTAATCGGGTTACTGCCCAGTGCCCACATAAGAAATAACCATAAAAAGTGCAAGCGATGATGATGAATTTTGATATAATTAAATCGATTGAATTCCAAGATACAATACAACACCAGTAATACGTCTCACTCAAAATTTATTCTTGGTTTGCTTTCGACGTCCACATGAAGTGAAACAAAAACATGTTTTCTGATGTGAAAAAAGTTGTGCCACCAACGATGGCTGACCCCATTGTTTACGTACGGTGGAGACATCTACAATTTGCAAGTGGGTACGTGAAACTAAGGTTTTCTGTCTAGATGCTCGGGGGGTGCCTGGACCCTACCTATCGACCCATCAACTCATGAACCAGAGACCAACGGCTTTACTTCCCATCCGAAGGAAGGCGTGATCAGAGATGTTATGCCTCAGAACATCCCGGCGGGATTAAACCCAGGCCTGCTGGGGTAAGAGGTTATCACACCAATACACCAGCGGCACCGTTGTTTGTTATAGTTGGATAATAATTGTTTTAAATCAAAATTAAGAACAAAAATCAATATCTTCTTATACTGCAAATTGTTGACCCTTTCCTTTCCAGAAGGTTTTTCCTGGTTTTGATATTCAAAAATGTGTTTTGAAAAATGCGCTAGACTAGAACAAAGAATGTGCCATACATTCTAAAATGGTCGAATGCAATCAAACAAGTTTTTATTTTAAAAGTTGTGGATCACCGGAAGAAGAGGGTTAAATCCTGGCGTAGACCCACATTGTTATTTTTTTTTGAATTTTCAAGAAATTTAAACCAATTTTTGACGTAGGGGAAATGTCTCTAATGTTGGCCTATGGATCTAAGATTGGGCCCATCTCTAAAAATCTGCTATCTATCAATTTTATCTAGATGAACGCGTTATTGGGACGTTACTGATGGATATTTTTGGTTGCTATTGAAAATTTAGTCGATTGCTGAATGTATGTATGGGCCCAAATTAGGGACACTTAGGCCGACATTACCTGCATTTCCCCTATAAGGTTTTAAAGATTCCACATTGATACCTACCTAGTAGTGAAAATAAATATTACGATTTTAATTTGCTGCTCCAAATCCCGAACTAAATCATTTTTGTGTATGGATCAAGATAACAATAAATTTTCAATATTGCCCTAGTAGGGGCTCTACTCCTTTTGACATAAAGGTTATTTGGCATAAATAAGAAAAAAATAACAGCTCATATTCAAAAGGAGGGTTAGCACCAATTTTTTTTTTATATCTTTATTAAGGAGACTTTCAGCCCTGGGCTGGTTCGTCTCCGGAAAACCAATTAAATGATTATTTTCCCTTCTTTTTGTAATGAGCTGTTTCTTCTGTTGAATTACAACCCGTAGGCAATATAAGTGGCGATTATGCCAAACGAGTCAGAGCCATTATGGTAAAAAAGCATTGCAGATCTAAAAATTGTCTAGACATAAGATATTGAACATTTTAAAGTTTTCGAAAAACTACCAATAGTTTTAAAATCCCCCTGCGCTTTGGTCAGATAGCGTATAGGGCGTCATTATGCCAATTTGGTCGTGGCACATTTCGAGTATGAGAGAGTGATTGCAGTTTGCTCAAACGTGCCTGAGTAAAATCGAAGAAAACAAACTTTGCCAGAATCCAAGCGACAGATACAGTGGCGCTGCGCTTGAGTGAAGGTGGAAGTAATGCATAGAAAAATGAGCAAATACAAAAACCCTTCTTCTGAGGATGTAATCTTTACTATCAAATTCGTTCGAAGCATTTACCTTTGAGCGGCAGATGACGCGATTGTACCTGTCTCCTAGCGTTCGTATGAGGAAATGGAAGAGTTGCCAGTCTACTTGATTTGTTGTCTTCGGTAAAATGCAAGTACTTTCGATGATTACCCGTAGTTGCGATAGTGAAGCTGTATATCCATATTCTCGTTTATGTCCGGGCGTGTTTGCCATACAGAAACATTTTTATTTGATTTTGTGTAGGGTATGGGTTTCAGGTGTGGACGGGCATAAGGGTAATAATGTGAAGTTTACGTTAGGATAAAGTTAAAACATTGAGAAATGTATCACGTCAGTTTGAGAAGTACTTCGATTATCTCTATATATTCTTTGGTGTTTCCAAGCAGATAATCATGTTGGTGTTCGCTGATTCAATAGCAATGAGCTGTCCAT